TTGCTGCAGTTTTCGAATCGAACCTTGCGCTTACTGTGTTGCAAATTATCAATTAACTTATTGTGTAACTTTTTTTTAAAGATAATCTTCCTCCCTCTTGTTTTCTTGTTAATTCGAGCCCTTCTTGATAGACGGTATGTAATTATGCTGAAACGGTCGGCCCGGCTGAAGAGCTTTCCGCTGGCCAACGGTCATCTTACGCAACGTTTTCTTCCCCCGGTTACAAAATCATGAGCTTAATTTTGTCTCTGAACCATCTCTTTTATATTTTTTCTCATTACCTGACTTACCGCCTGAGAATCTATCGACATAACAGCCTACAAGAGCGTAATAACCTCCTTGTACCTACAGTTTTTAAGTTTTAGCATAACTTTTTATGAACTTCTTTTCCGTTCTCTTTTCTATTTCTCTATTATCTTCTTGTAGAATTTTTTTATTAAAAATTCAATAAACCCAATGAGACGAAAGAAAACCAGGATTACAAAGTGAATAACAGTAGAAAAGAAAAATTACAGTTATTTTAAGGAAAACGCACATATGAAATTTGAAGTTAACAGGCCGAAATGATTACAAGAAAAGAAAGAAAAATATTTCTGTGATTAATTGTTTTCTTTCAACGAACCAGTTGGGCAAGGTCCTGAGCCCGTGTTGCAATGTTAACCATGGGAAAGGTCCTACTTCCAAACAATTCAGACAATATTGGACGAACGACAAAGAATAAAGCGTATTATGGCTCCAGAGAGCCCTTGACAAAATGAAAGTGGAAACGGCTGTAGGATTTTTCAACAGATTGCCGGGCTGTTGTTAGTGTGCTAATTGGGGTTTAAACCTTAAAAATACTTCAGGCCTGTTGAGTGGATAAGTACACAGAGCTGCTCTGTTACACCATACCGGCCTTGTTCGTGAATTTTAGTATTGGTTTACTTATTTTAATACGGTGTCATAAAAAAAACGACCGATTTCATTTTTTTTAAGATGATGAAATTGTAATCCCCTATCGGATTTATTTGGTTTCCAAACCAATTAGATTTTATACCACTTTAATCCGTAGACTGTACTAAATAAATGTGTAAAAATTTATTCTTGCATTCAATTTTGTCTTAGAATTTGGTTAAAGAACACGATGGTAAAATGTTAAATTGTGATCATATTACGCTATTACTAGAAACGCCGTCGAAACAACCCAATTTGAAGAGGATGCTCTCTCTGAACGGACGGTGCGTAGATGGTTCCAGAAGTTTGAAGGGCTTCTGGTCGATAATCATCATTCGATGAGGAAGCACTGCGGGACTGTTGAGGCAGACCCAATGAAAAGAAGTACTCAAGCACTCATTGGTAAAAGCGCTTGGAGTTCCCCAATCTACATAAATCATGGACTGCATAACTCGAGGAAGGTGTATCGCTCATTAAGTACCTCATGATTTGATCATTGAGTAAGCCGCCGAGTAGAAATTTGTCATCGTCTTTTGAAAAAACCCAAATAACCTTTGGTTCATCAAAAGAATAGTGTAGATAAAAAGTATATTGGAGAAACCAAGACCGAGAAACAATGGCTAGACTGAAATCAGCCTGCTCTTCCAGTCACTAAAAAAGGGCAATTTGACAAATAGCCAATGCTCTCTGTATTTTGGAATTACGAAGGCATAATTAATTAGTAGTTCATTCTAAAATGTCGAACCATTGATACAAAACTTTTTTTGTGAGCAGTTTCAAAAAATGAATGATGTTTTGACCCAGCTTTACCCAGGATTAGTAAATAGATATCGGGTTTTTTTTTTAACAAAGTAGTATAAAATGGTCACTTCTGGACCACCTCCCCCCACTCCTCCACCTTCTTTGGAAATGCTGGGGCCACCTCCCCCCACTCCTCCACCTTATTTGGAAATGCTGGGGCCACCTCCCCCCACTATTCCACCTTACTATGGAGGAGTGGGGGAGGTGGTCCCAGTATCTCCTAAGAAGGTGGAGGAGAGGGGGGAGGTGGTCCCAGAAGTGAACGTTTTATACTACTCCACAAGATAACCCCCGACCACTTCTCGTTACACGAAGCAAAAAAATTACAGAATTGAACGGTCACCCTGCTTACAGTCCAGACTTAGCACCTTCCGTCTACCATCTGTTCCGGTCCATGACACATTATCTTCAATGGGAAAACTTTTGATTCTCTGGATGAGGTTCAAAATAGAGTTGCAGAATTCTTGGGTTCAAAACCCAAAGAGTGGTATTGTGAAGGAATCCAACACCTGGCTTCGAGATGGCAACAAACCATAGAACACAATGGTATAACTTTGAATATCAAAAAAAGTGACAAAATAAAATTATTTTTAAATTAGCAAGAAAAACGGTCATTTTTTATGACTCACCCTATTAATAATATTTTAAAAAAACTTTACAGAGGAAAATATAAAAAAATAAATTTGTTTAAAATATTTTATAATAAGAATCATAGGAAAGATTATACTATTTTATATTTTTTCCAATCCAAATTATGATTTAAATATAATTAAACAGAGTTGCACAGTGCGAATATTTTGGCCAAGGGTATGACGTCTAGCCCCGGAAGCTCCCATGTCTTTTTGAAGGCCGGACCCTGGGAGAAACGGAAGTCCGCCGATCTGTGGCGAATAGGATTAAATCTGCGTCCTGTTTCATTCGGGAAATTTAATTCCTATCCGTCTCCTGGGCTGTGAAAAGATCGTTTTTTTTATTTAAATAATTAAAATGAAATTAAAAATAATTAAAATGAAACAGTGGGCCAAGTTTGAACGTTTAGCAAGTGTGATAGTGAGAAGTGTACCCTTGGAATGAAGTCATTTTGGCTTATGACTTCACGTCCAAACCTCTACTTTACAGAAATCTTTACTTCATTAAAGAAAATAAATAATCGCAAAAAATACCAGCTAAGTTTCAAATGATTCACATCAGAGGCAGGGATAACCTTAAAAAATCGATCAACGCATAAATAATTAATTATGTAGAATGTAGAAGAAATGTAAATCAGGATTTCCTGTCGGATCATCCTGGTATGACTGTTCTTACTGGTTTTTGCGTTTGGCCCGAGTTCAGTATTTGGCCTGTGTGTTTTTTCGTCAACCTATCCCCTTTTGCCATGGTGGCAGGCATAGTGTGAACAACTGAGGGTTTCATTACTTTTTTAATTTTTGTCGACGTTTCGAACTTATTGTATTCCTTCTTCAGGCAAAAAATTCTAGAAAGAACAATTTCTAAACATTTTGTTCCTTCTAGAATGTTTTGCCAGAAGAAGGCAATAAATCCGAAACATTGCCATTTTGTATTCTCTAGAATGTTTGGCTGATGAAGGCAATAAGTCCGAAACGCCCCAAAAATAAAAAAAATCATGAACTGCTGAGTTGTTCCTTCTCTGTCCGCCATCCTTACAAATTCAACAATCATTAATGGTGTGATGATGTAAGAGTTAGGCTCATAGTCGATGGGTCGTCCTACTTTTGGTTCTTATCGGATCATCCTGGTCTGCCTATTCTTGCTGATTTTTGCGTTTGGCCATTACGCCGAGTTCAGTATTTGGCCTGTGCGTTTTTTCGTCAACCTATCCTCTTTTGCCATGGTGGCAGGCAGAGTATGAACAACGAGCAGTCCATTACTTTTTTTTTAATTTTTGGGGTGATTCGGACTTACTGTAGTCCTTCATCAGTCAAAACATTCCAGAAGGAACAAAATATTTAGAAATTGTTATTTATATTTTGTTCCTTCTAGAATGTTTTGCCTGATGAAGAAAATAAATCTGAAACATCGCCATTTTGTTCCTTATAGAATGGTTTGCCTGATGAAGGCAATAAGTCCGAAACTCCGAAAAAAAAATTAATTATTCTATTAAAATGTAAATCAGGATTCTTGGTCTGCCTAATCTGACTGGTTTTTGCGTTTGGCCATTAAACCGAGTTCAATATTTGGCCTGTGCGTTTTTTTCGTTAACCTATTCACTTTTGTCAGGAACTTGCTTTTGAAGTTTTGCCAGATAAAGAACACTCAGTAGTTCATGACTTTTTTTTATTTTTGGCGATGTTTGGGGCTTACTGCCTTCGTCAGGCGAAACATTCTAGAAGGAACAAAATGTCTAGAAATTGTTATTCCTATTTTGTTCCTTCTGGAATGTTTTGCCTGATGAAGACATTAAGCCCGAACTTGGCCCAAAATTAAAAAAAAAATCATGAACTCTGAGTCGTATATTCTCTGTCCGCCACCCTGGTAAATTCTCCAAACATGCTTCCGTCATCCGGCCGGCAAGAAACATAAACTATCCCCTTTTTTCATAATTTCTATATTACCGCCGATGGTTGACCTCGCCACAATGTTTCGCAATTTTTATGACACATTTGAAATATTAGACAATGGAAAATATATTTTTTTTTTTACAAAAATAACTTGAACAATGCAATCAGAATACAATAAATTTAAAAAAAATCATAAACTAATATGATCTCAAGATCAAATCAAATTTCTTCAACTTTTACTTAAGTACCTACGGGCTTCGCCGTCGGTCGTAAGTCCTTCTTCCCTGGCCCATTGGCACACTTATCCAAGCAAGTCTCGTAACCCCGTTATTTTTCACGTTGTATGATCCACTATAAAGCCTCCGCCGGCCGTTTGGTTCCGGGTTCAAGGCCGTACTTTCCATGAATTTTAATTTTCAATTAGCTCTTTTGTTCTATTTCTTGGTACACCATGGGAAAGGATGGGGGAGACGTTTTTGTCCGGCTTCCTGTGGAAAGACCCTGGTTATCTATGGGCATTAAAAATATGACAAAGCCAGCCTTAATCATAAAATTTCCCAAATTATTCTTGAATTATTCTTTATTTATATTCACTCGCATTTTCCTGCAAATATTTCTTGTACAAAAGTTTATTTAGCATTATTCTAGCAAGAACAAAGATATCAAGTCAAATAATAAATAGCTTTTAATAATAAATAAGTTTTTATGAAATTTTATTTTACTAATAGGAAACCTTTTTGATTTTAGACGGATCCTCAAAGCGGAGATGTGATGGATATAAGGGGCAATGGTGTGGGGGATGATGGAGGAGGAACATCCCCTCATTTCCAGCATCTTGGTCAGGATATAAATAAATCCATTTTAGCCCTACATGTAAGTTTTAAAAAAATCATTCATTATTTAGGTGCTAAGTTTAATTTTTTTTTTTTTCTATTTAGGAACTGCAAAATGAAGTGGGCGCTCTTCTTGAGTTCCGAGATGTTGTTATTGAGACTTTTCCCCAGTTGAAAGGCAAGTTGAGATCTCATGGAGGGGTGGGAAATAGCAGCAACGGAGGAAGCGCTGGAGGCAGTGTAGGCGGCCGTTGGGAGCCGGGAGTTAGGGTCAGAAGGAAATTGAAAGAAGAACCGCCGAGGTCTAGGTCAAACTCTAGGTCTAAAGGCTGTTCCGTAATCGCCGTGCAAGACTCAGGCTTCTGCACCGCAGAGTCTTCTGGTTCCAAGAAAACTATGGAGGAAGAAGAAGTCGACGAACTCTGGTGCCTTCTGGAACTCATCCAGTCCAAGGGTACGAAGCTGCGCATGGAAGTCGAATCCATGAAAGGTACCTGTTCACCTACGAACCATAACCGGTCAAGAAGTCTATCAGATCTTGAGTCTCCTAGCGACAAAGAAGAAGTCCAAAGGCTGATACAGGTAAAGTGATGAATAGTTTTAAACTATAAAAAACATTTTCTTATCGTTATTATTTTTATAGGAGAAAGAATTGCTTCTTGAAAGAATAACAGAAATGGAAGCAGAAAATGCTGCAAGGGCAGAGGAGTATCAGAGCATGTCCAGGAGAGTAGCTGATCTCTTAGATCAAAAGAAAAGACTGGAGGAGGCTTTAGGCTCTACTGCAACCGGAGTTACTACAACAAATTACCCCTCAACACCCCCTCATAGAAACCTGGGAAGACTGGACGGCGTCCTGTCCTCGTCGCCAGGTGATATTATCCCTTGCCCGGCAGGAGTCATCCCTGACAGGGAGGTCACTGCAGCCATTCTCAAAGAAAAAAATGTACTAGAACTTCAAAGGCACTTGATCACTACCACACATCAAAACCAGGTAATTGCTTTACGTGTACATTGTACTGTAAGTACGGTGTTGCTTGATGTTACGCTAAAAAATTGAGCAATACCCTATTGTAAGGTGAATAACAAAAATTCAGCCATGTAATAACACTTCAATAGGTCTATTTTTCTCTTTGTACCATTATGTAGCTCGTTCTTCGACATGCGAGTTATAATGAAGGCCATTATTTCCAACATTTAATTAATAATTCCAAACACCCCATTTTGTTTTGAGTTATGCATAAATTAAAATAAAAGTTAATAAAAGCTAAATTAATTAATACTTGTATTTTAGTAGTTAAAACATTGACACAAAGACTCATCGCTGTAGTACCTCAGCAGCCACAGGGTCTTCTGCACCTCGGCCTAAATAGATATATTGGGCTCCTCTATTTTTATAACTCACTGGCCAGCTTAATTGTGAATCAGGATATCTTCCGGGAAGGTGTTCCTCCTTTTTATTTTTCTGGCGCAATGCTTATTGCTACTCAGACTGAAAAACTAGCATATTTACCTAATTTTAAAGTCAGTTGGGTGTTCAGATTCATCCTGAAGATTCCAGCTACCATGCCCTTATCAGTTTTTGAACTGTCATTGCATCAGGAAGAATTTGCCTTTAGAGGTCTCCTTTAGCCCAATCTTCCCGTTCTGGTATGAGTACTTGGTACTTGATGTAAAGTTTTATTTTTGAGTAGTGGCATCAATTGACATGCCTCCCTTAGTTTCTATTGTTTATTGACCTATCCTTGCAGATGGTTGTCCGTTTATGTTAGCTGAGCTGCTGCTGTGGCTTCTGCTTGAATTAAAATATGGAGCAGTGGAAGGTTTATCACCTTTATGCTGCAGTTGGCATTGAACTCATACTTCCAGTGACACTGATACAAGCTTCGCTTTGAAAAATCCATCACATATTAGCCCATATGTCAACATTTGTTTTAAGACATAGGTTTACAACTATAGGGTCATTTTGGAGACCGCAGTAGCCGAGTGGTTAAGACATCAAACTCTCGGCAAGTTGAGGCTGCCATTGAAAAAATGACACCACTCAAAAAACAAAAAAGATAATTTTTGGGGTTTATCCCCAGTTTTGGTGCAAAGCCTTCTGCACTACCCCAGGTCATTTTGGCTCACTGATTAGTTTTAATTATATGTGAACTTCATTTGAGCAGATATCCCCAGATATTTGGTTTCCTTGGAGAATGGAATCGGTGATGTGTTGGGGATTGGAATTTTTAAGTTTCCAATCGTCCTCTTCCTTGTGAATGGAATCATTATGGTTTTGCGGGGGAGGGGTGTTAATAGATAGCTCCTCCCATTTACACCATCTTTTTACCAGGTTGAGAGCTCGTTGTACACAGTCCACCATGATGTCTGCATGACGGCCTTTTAGCAATAGAGCAAGGTCGTCTGCTTAGCCTAGACAGTAGAATCTTTTTTGTTCCAATATTTGTAGTTCATCAACCAGTGTTGTCAACAGTAGAGGTGAGAGAACCCCCCCTTGTCTTAACCCGAGTGGTTGCACTGCCCAAGATAGATACAGTTATCCTGTTCTTTAGGCTCTCTTCCATCCATTGGTAGTCCTTTTCCGAGACTGCCCTGTTGGTAATTGCTTTATATAAATACCAACAGGCTGTGATTGCATTGTTGAAAGTTCCCTCTATATCTATGAAGAGCGTCACTGCTTTTTCTATGGACTTGGTTATGTCGTCACACAGGACATCCAAGTGTGTGGGCTCCCTGGTTGTTATACAAATTGTCGCTCACTGAGTGGTTTGTTCTTTCTGCCAATGTGAACGAGCAAGCGAACTGTATTGTTTAGAAAATCAAATGTTTAAAAATTGAAAATAAAAAGAAAATAAAATAAAGAAAACTAATCTTCCAGCCGACTCCTCAAAGCTCCACAATTATTCAAAGGGGGAAAGTCAAGGGTCAGGACGGTGAAGGAAAACGGGATCAGGATACCCTTTACCTCGGTTTCTCGGAGTGCCACTGCCAGCAGGTGATCTTGCCATGACAATCGCCGAAAAATAAAAAAATAGAATTTTTCAATAATTTGCAAAACAGCACTAATGTTTGAGCAACAACGAATTTTCTCTCTTTGAGGGAGGATCATGATGATTTCTTGTCCTTTTTGTAATAGCAATGGGTAGATTCCATCCACTCACGGCTCATTATATAGGCGAAACTTGTCAAAAGCCCAGCTTATGGTTTTTGGTTGTACTATGATTGCCAGCTCCTCCCACTCTTCATTTGTAGGTATTTTTGGTTTGAGTGCTCAAAGAGTCCTTCTTGGATTATTTCTGCTCCTGGGAAGTGGTTTTTGCTCAGTAGGGAGAGTGTTTCTCCTTCTATGTTCATAAGGAAGTTTACCAGCCTCCCGGTAATCTCTGCCACAAGTTCTGTTTAGTTTTTTATTTCTTTATGTACTGAGTCAGGGAATGTATATATCCCGAGATTCCAACCCAACATACTAACAAATGGGTTTTTTATCTAAAAAAAAGAAAAAAAATCCAGGGTTGATTTGACTGTGTACAAATCCCTATTTTTAAAAACGTTATACTCTGAAACTTCAAGGCGCAACATCACTTCTCTTAATTTCAGTAATTTTAAAGAACTTCTAAAGTAGCATATTACAACATTCTTTATCTTTGTAGATTGTTCACAGAAAACTAGAAAAACTTGCTAAGGTAAAAACAGCTCTAACACAGCAATTAGAAAAGTTTAAAGAAGAAAATGAAGATTTAAGGTTTCAAGTAAGTTCATAATGAAATTTATTGTTTAAGATTTATTTGATATTATTAACATAATTGTTGTTTTATAGTTGGAGGAAAAGAGCATAGAACTTGAGGGCACGAGGGCTAGAGTGAGAATTTTAGAGAAGCAGGCACCTTGCATGGCCATAGATAATTCGACTACCAACCGCAGCTCTACGTCTGTGGAATTGTCTGACCACACGACCGCAGAGGACAACTCGAGTACAGAATCTGCTCATGGTACACCGTCTAGAAGAAAGCAGAAACCTTCTAGGATTCCACTCAAGGCTAAATCATCACCGTCGGCTCCACCTAATTCTTTAAATAAAGCTCGTGCAGCTTCTGCAAACCTGAACGGCAATCAAAAAACCTCTCCAGTACTGAAGCCAAGGAAGATTCAGGTTGCTCAAGACACTAACCTTTCACCGCCTCCTAACAACCAAAATGAGGGAAAAGTCCTTTATAACAGATTTGCAGCTATTGGTAACTGGCTGAAAATTTCTTCACCGTCTCCATAGCAACCAAGACAAGAGGTTGCCACTACCCCAGACGCCAATTTAACAGTAATTATTTTTTTTCATCAAGCATTTTACCTGATCTTATTCTTCTAAAATATCAGATATATAGTAAATGGTTACAAAATGTGTTTCAGGCAGTAGAGGCTGACTCGCTAGAAAGTTGTGCCGAGGCCCATAGCGACTCCTTAGAGCCTAATGACGACAGGAAAGACACCGAGACCGAAGGTGCTGTGGATGGTGCAACCTCTCGTTTCTTCGATTCGATTGAAATTGTTCAGCAAGGCTTTACAAGCAATGGCGGCGAGGCACTGGCCGACTCACTCGAACCGGTCGATCTTGTCTGATTAGGGGAACTGAGGGTGATGGAAAGCGACAGCATTTCACCCTCATCGCCCTCTTCTCGCTCAACTCTAACGGAACAAGACGACTCGAAATCTCAGAATATTTTCAAAGCTCATTTTTCCGGATTCTTCAGATCACTCTTTTTTCCAAAGTAGAATTCAAATGCAAAACAAGTGGTTAAATTTTCTTTATTATTAAGATTCTTTATTATTTCTTTATTAAATTACTGACAATGCAATGGTTTTGTTGAAAGTTTAGAACAATTCACACTTAGCATTTTTTTTTTTTTTACTTGCAACGAATATATTATTTCCTAAAAACCATCTGAGCTAGTCAAGTTGCAATTACTTAGATTAAGAATGATTCTGGAATACCATTTTTGTTTTTAAAGAATACTTGATACCGTTTCAAGATTCAATAAAATTCAAGGGGAATTTTTAAATAAAAAAGAAATAAAAAATATTCTGAGATTTCAAAACTTTTCAAAGAGGAATTACCAAGTTGTTATATTTTGTCATCTGCAAAACACCATACTTGGGGCATTTTCTCTGTATTCCTATGGTGTGTATTTCTGAAATAACTGCAAATGTGTGTATATAAATAAAACGGGTAACTGTGATAATGCTCTTTCGGATGCTGGAAAAAAAAAATCCTCCACTTTCAAGCGTATTGCTGCATGTTTCACAAAATAATTTCAACCAAAGCCCTCCGAAGAGCCCTTCTTCTATTGTCCTTTCCTTCCTTGTAAATAAGAAAAATGTGACTTAAAAAAAATTGACTGTTTTACAGTAAGATCATAAACAAAAATATATTTATAAAGCCAAAACGTTAGTCACCATGAACTTTGAAAATATCACTTTAAAGCTTTTTTTTAACATAACTTTTAATAAATTGACAATTTAGTTCTAAAAATAATCAAAAATCAATTTTTTTGTAGAATCTGTAAAATTTTGCCATATTTAGAAAGGGAAAGGATCACTTTTTTTGTAGAATAAAATTTTTAAAAAATAAATGTTATAATAAGAGAAATTGTATTATACCTCACTCACATTTTTGAGTGATCAAATAGTAAAAAATATTTTTTAGGAAAAAATAAACAAAAATTTTGCTCACTCTTTTCTAGACTTTTTTTAAGATGGACAAAGAAATTTAAAACAAGTTTGAATTTAATTATCAAAAAAAATTATTACAATTTTCTCTTGGAGGAGATTGATACGCTCTTCAAAAAAAAAAGTTTTTTTGTTTTCCAAGAGTTTTTCTTTAGTCATCACAAAATTATCTATTCATTCTATTAATTAGTTCGTATATCTCATTTTGTAAGTCAGCTGTAGCTCATTTGTAAGTAATTTGTCATTATCATTTTGTAACTTAGGCTGTTTAATTTTGTTATTTTACATGTTTAATTGTGGAAAACATTCCTTTCTCTTGAAAAAAAAAAGATATATATATTAAAATTTAAAAATAAAATAAAATTATGAATTATACTATGAAATAATATATGCATTTGTTATGATTAGAGCTACATTTTTAGGAAGTACATTATAAATAAAAATAAATTATATTTATAAGTAATTTTTTTAATTGTATATATAAATCACAAGTCAAAGACTTAACTAATTGAATAATGTAATATAAATAAAATTAGATGCAATTTTGCTTAATGTTCTCTTTAATTTATTTCAAATACTTTTCCAAATTACTGTTATATAGGAGGACTTAACATCTAACCTACGTGTTGGGTGTGCGGACAAGGGGTCAAACCACTTTACAATATTCATTTCAATTAAAATTTCATGTGCTCTGCTAGGATTCAAACCCTGAACCGCTAGCATTAGCATAGCAAAAACGAGTCAGATGAGTTAACCACTCGACCACCGTGGTCTATATAATACAACCAGCTTATATCTAAATGAAAGCAAAACTAATTTAATATGAAGAAGACTTGATGATCATAAATTGTTGATGTAGTTTAAACAATTTAGAAGTGTAGTTTGAACAGGATGTATACACAAAGCAACCAAAAAATCAGAAACAGAGCATTATGAAATCTTATTGAGGCCGATCACTCAAAAAGTCTGTCATGGAAAACTGAAAATGCTAATCACTCTTTCAAAATTCAATCGACCACAAACGGGATTTACATTTTTTTCCGAGGGTATTTTAACTACAAGGCTTTATGGACCCTCAGATGCATGTGTCAGGTTCGAATGAAGGGCCGCTGAATTCAGAGTATTTATGTGTGAATATCAGTGTGTATATACATATATTCAGAGACCATCAAGTAAAGACCAAATTATACCTCGTTTTTTCCTATTTGCAATTCTGTCACTTGAGTATTGTTTTATTAGTAATCAGATTAGATTAAGACAAATGGAATATATTGAACAATTAAAAATTGAGATGAAAAAACTTGAACGCACTTGAAACCATGGATCAGTACTGCTCTGTCATTGCACCACCGTGCGTTGTCCTCGAGAGCATTGCGAGTGAGTGAACATAGGTATAGTTTCAATAAAAAATTGGCCAGCTGATGTCGTCAATATAGATAAGAAAAACATTTCAAAATGGATGAAAAGTTTCTATTGCACCTAGTCCTTATCTTGCTTCTTCAGGCCGTTTCTGGGTGTAAACATTAAATTCCATTTAAAACTGTTTCCAAACCAAATAGAAACTTTTCCCTTTTGTGTTAAGGCAAAATTCAGTCAAAACAGCTCGTATTCATCTGGAAAAATGCCTAAAGATTTGTCCTAAAGTATTGAAAATAAAAATAGAAATATAATTAAGAAAAAAAATTCACAATAGGGCTTGGCCCCTTAACAGTGAGTAGAAAAATAAATAACAAAAAGGTTACAAAATATAATGCAAGGAATAATTAATAAACAAGAGACTAGCCACAAGATAAGAGTTTGATAAAAGCAAGGACTGTTCGCAAAAAAGTTGAAAGCCTGAATGCATAAAGGGGGTGGGCCGCGGAAGAGAATTCCACAGACACACCCCAGCAACTTTAAATTAATCGTTCATAGATTTGAATCTATGATGCAGGTTTTCTTTATAATATTTAAACTACAAGAAGAATTAAAATAGAATATAAAGAAAAAATATGGTGGGCAGAGCTAATTTTTTAAATAATTAAATTACATGATCGGAAGGTAATCAAATAAATTAATACCAACGATGAACCCGTGTGCACATCATAGATATGCTCTCTTCTTCATTAACTTAATACAAATTGTCTGTAATCTTTAAAAATTATTACAATTTTTTTAGTAGAAGTAAAAAGGGAAAATAAGTTTTGACGAGTCCTAAGTTTTAGAGTCAGAAACATAAAACTATATTTCCAAAATGAATTTAAAGTCACATTCACCCTTCTAGCAACAAAGCCTAAATAATATCCCAAGATAATCTGGTATTAAAAGTTACTTACAAAGTAACTAATATAACCATCAAAAGTAATGTCGATTGGGATTTGAGCGGGTTAAGTTTGAGACCATTGTTTGAAGCCCAATTAGCCAAGCTAGAAAGGTCTTGGTTAATGAGTTGAAAGGAATCAGAATAAAATGAGGGAGACATAGATTTGGGTATCGTCAGCAAATAAGTGAAATTTGGAGCAATTTAAACAAGATGGGAGGGAGGTCGTTGATTAAAATTGAAAACAATAAGGGTCCTAAAATTGCACCTTGAGGAACACCAGACTTAACAGTAAGGTCAGGTGTGAGTTTATTATTAGGTATTTTGACTGGTTTACAACCTTACAAATCAGAGGATATTACGATTTAAAAAAAAAAAAGTTTTAATACTGTTTCCAACCCAAATAATGAAATACAACTAAACCTATTGCATTTTTCAATAAAAATCCAGTTTCAATCTATCAATACATGTTATTTTATATGTGGCTGCAAGAATTGTCTAACTTGGGGTCCATACTATTTGCCTGGCAATGGTATGAACTCTGACACCTTAAAAGTTATCACGGATTGTTTACAAACAAGAAAAAACTTATTAGAAGTAATAAAGTTGGGGCATGTCGATACACATTTTTTACAACAAACAATTTGTAAATAACAAATCTATGAGTACTACCATTATTTACAAAAAGAGAAAACAGTTAATTCTTCTAAAAAGACATTATTTGTAAAATTATTTAAATGGTTATTGTTTGTCAATATAACATTTCTTGCCTATACTGCCATGCTAGATTGGTCATTAATAGTTTAAGATGAAAATCTGCCTTGATAATTATTACACTAAGTTAAGAAAATTCATTATTTACTTTCTAAACTTTTAATTGAAGCTGAAATAAATGAAAACTTTCAAGCTGCTGAAAAAATAGACAAGAGATATACTTTAAGACATTCTAATAAACATTAATTTCAAATGCAAGCCTGTACAATTTTTTCGAGTTTGGTTTTTATTGAAAATTTATGGCAAGTAACACTATGCCAATTGACACATCAATTTTTTTTATAAAGGAAATAGTCATATATGGCATAAATGAGTAAAGGGTTTTTAAGTAACAATAAAACTTAAAATATATTTTTCTATTTTTATTATTAACAGTTATAAAACAACAATATAAATAAAATTTGTACTCCAGGGAAATGAGTGTCACCTAACTTGTTGCACAATGACTTAGACAAAATATTAAGCTTGTGTGAACAAAAGAGTAAAAGAGCTAAAAGTTTTAAAAATTAAAAAACAAAACAAAAAACAAGCAAATTCTTCTAATTTACATTTCATAAATTTATTTACAAGTAAAAACTGAAATTTAAAAAAAATCATTACTTTATAATTGTTTTGATATTAGTGTGAGCTAAAACAAATTGTAATGGTGAGTTAAGGGTCGACTTCTAGTTTTATTTCTGGTTTTAAAATAGAAGCAAATGATTTTTCACTGATATGGTGCATTATGTGAGTTCTCAGGTCTCCTTCGCTGAGAGTTTTAAAATTGCATTTGTCGCATTCTAGCACCATCCGACGTGGAATGATTTCAGTGGGGAAAGAATGAACCCTTTGCAAGTGATCGCTCAGAGCCGAGGCATGTTGACAAACAAGACCACATATGTGACAAGCGAGACTTCCGCTGTTCTGATGAGTTTTCAAATGCTTTTTCATGTCAAACAAATTAAAACTGGTAAATTCACACTCAAACTCAGGACAGACTAAAGGCAACTTTTCTGTTACATGGTTCTTCATGTGCCTTCTGAGGCTATTGTACGATGGGCAGACGAAGCCACAAATGGCACAGGTAGATGGAGCTTCTTGAAGGTGTATGTTGGCGTGACGTTTCAAAGAGCCTGATGAAGAACACTTGTAATCACAGACATCGCAGGAAAATGGTTTTTCTCCTGTATGCGACATCATGTGTGACCTCAAGCCACTCCGGTTTGCACTTCTGTAATCGCAAAATGTACAGCCGTACGGTTTCTCTCCAGTGTGTGTTCTCATGTGGATTTTCAACGACGTAGACCTGGCAGATTTGTAATCACACAATTTACAAGAAAATGGCTTCTCTCCTGTGTGTGTTCTTCTATGGAGTTTTAAGCTGTTAGCATCGGTGCAAGTATAATCGCACCCATCACAAGCAAAAGGTCTTTCACCTGTATGGATTCTCCTGTGGCGCCTTAATATAAAAATTGTCGACCCTCTGTAACTGCAAAGATCACAAGCGAATGGCTTTTCACCAGTGTGTGTTCGTATATGTATAACCAAGGTACTTTCATTTGCACAAACATAGTCGCATTCTTTGCAAGCAAACCTCTTTTTTTTCTTACCCCTTTTTGGGGTTTTGTTTCCATAAATGTTCGTCGGATCTCGCAATCCATGCGATAAAAAGTGCGATTTGAGAGAATTTTTCCTAGAACTAGAAAAACTGCACAGTGAACATCTGTAAGGCTTTACAGCTTCCATATTTTGATCCAGACCCTCATCAGATCTGCGATGATTGTCTCTATCGTGGATCTGTTCATGCCTTTTTAGACAGAATCTTGTTTTACAGCTGTACTCACAGATGGAACATTTAAAAGGCTTTCTGCCTGTATGACATCTCATGTGAACTATCATGTTGTGCGATGCTTGACATACATAACCACACTCCATACATACAAATTTCCTATTCTTTGATGCACCAATAGCAATTTCCGTATGCATTTCCAAATGTTCAGTAACATTCATAGCATCACCACATTTGTAATTACAGACGTAGACTTTTTTTCCATAATGAGTTCTCACATGGGTGTATAATTCAGAATGATTTGGGTATTTAACACCACATCTGAAACAATTCAATTTTTTATCAGTCACACCATCTTCCTCTTCGTTTGTTTCTCCATCTGCAGCTCTAATTACTTTATCTTCATCATTTAAACCTTTTTTACATGAAGTTTCTGAAGATTTTGTATTATACTCTGCACCATCATCAAGACTTTTTAAATCTGATTCTTCTGTCCCTTCCATACTTTCAGCCTTAATATTACTATCATCTTTCAACTTAATTGATGATTGATTTACAGATGTTTTCAAAAAAGATTTATCCTCTGTACAGTCTTCGTTATTTTTCATTGTCAATTCCAAGCTCATGCAATTTTTTTCAGTTATACTGTCACGACTGTCACTGTTTCTGTCATTTATTATGTGTGCAGATGTATTTTTACTTATTAATATTTGTTCTGATTCTTCAGACTTCACACAGTCAACAGATTCTTCCATCTGAGTATCATCAGTTGAAAGTATTTTATATTTGTCATGATTTAAAGTGTCAGTTTTCACCATATTTCCATCGCCGACAGTACAGTTTGTACTTTCACACGTACGTTCTTCAAGTTTCTCCGACCCATTTATATTATCATCCATATTTGAATGGGGTGATAAGCACGTTATACTCGGAACAAGAGCATTTTTGACTGTCCTGTGTTCTTCGGGATGACAATCATCTTGGGCAATGCATACCAAATGGCAAACGCCTGTAAACCAAACATATTTATTATTATTATTTTATAGATGGAAAAAATTATAAAACTAATTAACTAAGTTTTAACACTTACAAAACTAAAAAATTGAAAAGGATGGTACTCTGTCAAAACATTGTGGATCAATACCCGAGGTATGAGGCACATGAAGAGATTCATAGAAGGGGCATCTGTAAAACTTAAATTACTGGAACCGTAACCAAATCAGGATTATGGTCGAACTCCTGACAGGGCACTGCCACCTAAGAAGCACATGCACCGGATAGGAGTACAGACAGAAGAAACACTGTGTATATACTGCCAGGAAGAAGAGGAGACAGTAGGAAATATTTTATGTTTTTGAATGTTGAATGAAGGTCTTTGTAGTTTCGGATTCTTGCAACTAGAAGAGGTACGGCTGGATGATCCAAGATCTAAGGAGGGTAGGCTATGGAGTTTAATTAACAACCTGAAGCACAATAGATCTACTCAAGTCGAGGTTCAGAAGGCCTTGTGGCCGCCCCTTTTATCCCTATGTATTAATGACTTGAACAGGGGGGTTTAGAGTGGATACAATGGTTTCTCAATGAAACAAGTTCCAGTGAGGAGTGTGGATAATAGACAATTCACATTTCTCAGAAGAACCAAAGTAAAGAGATAGCTAAACTGTCCTCTTAACCTCAGACAGATGCCCCTTTTGTGCGTCTTTGGTATGCTGTAATGCTGCATCAAGGAAAAAATAGTCTAAGATAAAAGAACTACACTGATTTTAGAAATTTTAACAAAGAATGTGTAATTAAAAAATAAACAAATGCATAAATAAAATAAAGGGTTGGCCTAACCGAAACATGTCTGACAGATCATGATGTTAGGTAAGGATCAAATTATAAATAAAAATCCATAGAGGGAAATAACAATAAGCATATAAATTAATTACAGTTTTTGAGATGAACCATCCTTTCCAATTATTTGATGTACTCACTCCAACATAATTTTAATTTTTGTAAAACTACAAACATGGTTTAAACCTTAATTTTTATTTAAAATCATAATTTAATTACTAATAAAAATAATCATGTAAAATTAACATGTATTTTTTTAAATATATTAATTAATTATATTTTTTATCTATTGTCTTGGTCAAGCTGCAAAAGCTAGTGTCACGTGAGGGATTTGAACCTACGACCTTCGCCTAAATACACTTTGCTCTAACCACTCGAGCTATCGTGACAAGTGACTCCACCGTAATTTTAATTTTTGTAAAACTACAAAATAGGGTTTAAACCTTAATTTTCATTTAAAATCATAATTTACTAATAAAAATAATCATTTAAACATTAACATGCAATTTTTTTTTAAATTATAGTAATTAATTATACTTTTTATTTAATGAGCTATTGTGATAAGTGATTAGAACAGTAGCATATTTAGGCGAAGGTCGTGGGTTCGAATCCCTCTCGTAACACTAGTTTTTTTTCACTTAACCAGACCTTAGATAATTTACATATATGGATTCATTTTTAACTATAGTTTGCCATAGGAAAAATTAAAAGATAACAATTTTTATCAATTCATATACATGAATTAATTAACATTTCCAACTTGATGAAAGTATCTGTATTTTATGAATAGTGTGAAATAGTTTTTTTTAATGTTTAAAGGGTTTAAATTAAAAAAAATAATAAAGAGAAAGGAATATTTAGAATCATTACATTGCCTCCATGGTAACTAGTCTACAAGGGACGAGATAAGTCTGAGTTTCTTATTGTTTCTATTATAAATAATAATAATTTGTGAAAAAGTGTCAAAGAAACCCAGACTGTTAATAATATTGATAATGAATCAATAAATTCATTGAAGGCAAGTTAAGAGTTAAAAATAAAGTATAAATATTACAACCTTATTTAAAACGCTAAGCCAACTTTTGGTGTAAAAACAGGCCAAAACATTTCCCATTTGTTTATTAGTGGCGAATCCTACGGCGGACCATTTCATCAGGAGATTTAAAATATTAAATTTTCGGGGAAAAAAATATAAGCAAATCTGTCAAAACTGGAAAACTGTCAGAAGGGAACAGTAAACATGAAAACAAAACCGATATCGATTTTGAACTGGGCCGAGTCGATCCGTCGTCCTCGTCCCCTTCATCGATGCGGATGTGATTAAAATTAAAAGCAGATCTGTAGATGTTGATGTGTCGGATTGGATAGCTGCAGAGGCTGCCGTTCGTCGCTTTGCACTTTGCAGAAGCAGCCGTCGCGCTGACCCATCGCTCGAAATTTCAAATTTTCCTAGAAAAAAGAGGCAAACTTCTTGACGTTTTGAAGCATGTCTATAATAAATTTCAAGGATGGTTGTGTAAGAAATATGTTACATAATTTAAAAAAAATATAAGCTCATTATTGAACCACTATATTACTTTAAAGTTAAAAGCATACTCTCACGTGTATTTGGGCATTTATAAATAATGAAAATTTTATTAAAAAAGCAAATTTTAGTTAAATTTTTCATCTCATATAATCTTTTAATAATGAATTTTATATTGATTTTTAATAGCTAGTAATAATAATAAAACATTAAATATTAAAAAAAAGAGTAAAATTAAACTCTACAGAAAAACTCATTATTTATAAAAATATTTTCTTAAGAATCAGCTTTCTTTAATATTATTTTAACGGGTAACTAATTATCTAAATATCTATTATCTAATTACATAATACATCCTAAAAAAAGACACTCGTATTTTGTTTATTTCAAACTAGATATTTTTTTATCATTATATTAATTACAACATGCTTATTTTAATATAAATTAAATTAAATGAGATCAGAAATTCGAGTTTCAATTAAAAAATATTTATTTATGATGGTTTGAAAGAAAATTCTCCAAAACACTGGAAAAAATATTTAATGATATAATAAATTGTCAGTGAAATTTTAATCTATCACTAAATGATTTTTTTTTTTTTTTGCCCTGCTTATTCAAGTAAAATATTATAAACGAAAATACATACTATAAAAGCAAACAACATAAAAAAAGTATTTTCCAAAATTTTTTAGTAACAAAAAAATCATTAGTTTTACATTTTGTCATTCAATTTATTGATTCATCAGTTATTAAAATATGCATAATAATGCATTAAATATAAAAATCATAAATGAATGTAATATTTATTTATTTTAAAATTTGATTTACTCATTTTTTACAAAAGTATGAGTAACATAATACTTTCATACAAAACTAATATTTATATGAAATATACATTTAAACAAAATTTAACAAAATTCTTTAATGGAAAAAAGATTGGATATATCATAGACTTAACTAAAATTCTGTTTTCATTGCAAATTTTCTGTTGTTATCATTTCAGAATATATATGTAACTAATACTAATTATGTATTATTTAAATCATTATACATAATTAACAAATTCGCCTGATAAACGTGGGTGAAAAAAAATCATTAGACATAAAAGTAGTTTCTGAATAGGTCATTACCCTTCACAATATTTTCACAATCAATTTACAGATTTGTAAGTTATTAAAATATATATTAATGTAACAATGGATTAAATAATAATTTAATGTTTTTTGATTTTTTAATTGGATTTGCTCATTTCTTTAATTTATAAAAGTACAACTAACACATTACTTTTATATAAAACTAATATTTATAAGCAATATATTTTTTTTAAAATTCTATTAACAGAAAAAAGATTGGATATAAATATCATTAAAACAAATCAGACTAAAATTCATTATTTCATTGAAATGTTTGTCATTTCAGAAAATATAGGTAATTAATACTAATGATTTATTATTTAAGTCATACATAATTAACAGAGAGGGTTAGAGTGAAAAAAAATCATTAGTCAAAAAAGTAGTTTGTGTATTGGGTTCTCACTCTGTACAATATTTTAACATTCAATTAATTGATTCAACAGTAATTAAAATATATATTAATGCAAAAATGCTTTAATTATAAAAATGTTAAGAGTGAATGCTATATGCAGATGATTTGGTGATTTTCTGGCAGGGAAAAAGACACCAGTGTGTGCCTACAGCTATAAAAGAAACTAATAAATTAAGGCTGGAAAATTCTTGTTTCAAGTTCACACTAAAAGCTCTAGTTCTTTTTTGCTAAGCGGAGACCAAGGTTCATACATTTGTTGCCCATCAATAATGAATAACTAACTGGTTTGATTTTTGACAGGTGTCCCAATCGGACAAAGCACATCAAATTGGTAAAAACAAAATGCGCTCAATCCATAAATATTTTGAAAAAGTAAGCTCAATTTCCTGGGGGGGGGACAGGACCAATGACTAGAATCAGTAAAGAAAGCTGGTTCGTTCGAAAATGGATTGTGGAGAAAATGCATGTAACTGCTAGCGACAGAATGTTAAGTATAATTGACAGGGGTTTTGGATCACTATGAAAGCTTTTCCCTTCCAGCCCTGTTCAAAGTTTATTAGCAGAAAGTGGTGAACTCCCTTTAGATTTTCTCAAAAGTCTTCAAGATGCAAAATTTTTTCATCCCCTGATCGGCAAATATTTTCAACTCATTGTAGATTGTTATCCAAAATGGATTTAATTAATTTTGACAAAAGAAAACCTTTTTATTTCCATTAATCCTTTTTCTTACAAGAATTTATCCTTCTTAACTCCAACCTGGTTGTCCCCACCCTCAGCCAGCAGCAAACATGTTTTGAACTGCTCAATCCGAAATAAAAATCATATCAGAACAAGAATTTTTTTTCAAATTAAAGAAAAAATTCATAAACGCTACCTTTGCATACATTAATAGCTTCAAAAAATAATGGTGGTGTTGGAACAGTCTTTGCAATAGGAGACAGTAATTTAAATTTCTCTGTCTTTCGTCAGTGTTTTTACAGCAGTAGTGATAGAAATCAATAGGTGTGATAATATTGTAGAGCGAAGGTACTCTGGTTTTTTGAACTGATCCGTTATCCTCACTACTAATGAAAAACTTGTACTGTTGTTAATCTAAAATGTGAAATTGATACTCTTTTTATGTGGGCTGGGTATCAAGTTTTAATAGGAAATGAATTCACTGATTTTTAATGACAAGTTCCAATTTTTTTAGTTAAATTATGTCAGCCAAGGAGCAGAGAAGATACCAATCACCCTACAGAGGATGTACGGACAAAAGGCTTTTAGTCTTGACATCAGTTACAATTCTCTCAGAAGTCTCACTGGCTTGTCAGAATTTCTCAATCTTGAAGTTCTTGTCCTCGATAACAATCAGCTCGGGGACGATATCGAGTTTCCACCTTTACCTACACTCCACACTTTATCCATTAACAATAATCAGGTAATGAACAAAGGGCCATTAGTTTAGTTTCCATTTATTAATTTATTTTTCAGTTGACAGATTTACAAAGTTTCCTTGTAAAAGTTAAAGAAAATCTGACAACTTTGAGGCATTTAAGTTTACTCGGAAATCCCGCATGCCCAAGCCCAGTTTCACACAATGATAAGGATGATGATGATTACCAGCGATACCGGTACAACTTTAAACCGTTCTTTTTAAAAAGGATTGACTTTAAACTGAAATTATTATTATTATTTTTTTAATTCTTTCAGGCATTACACTCTTTACCATATGCCAAATCTTAGTTTCTTAGATTCCAGATTAGTAAACAAAGATGAAAGATCTGAAGGGATCATTAGAGGTAGATATATGAACATTGCACATCCACAGGTAAAATAGTACAAAATTATATTGTATACATATAGAAATTATTATTATTATTTTCAGCCTGATCAAGGAATGGTTTCACCACAGTTAAAACGAAAATACACGCCTTTACCAAAATCCACTCTAACGTCAAAAGGTAAGGTAAATTATATAACTGCAAATTTGAAATGGTTTTCATAATCTTAAATCTTTTGAAGGAACATATGGGAAATGGACGAAAAAATACAGCGGAAAAAATTCTGAAGGTAACAAATTTATAAAGAACAATCAGTTGTAAAATCTTTACATTTACACAAATAAGTCAACATGATCTCAGACTTTAATTGAAAGTACAATTATATTGTAATTTTTTGTACATAATATTAATACATATGATTTTGCACAATGTGAGAAAATAAAACAAATTAAACGTATGTAAAAATATTTGTTCTATCATTTTTATATTAAAAAAATAATAAATTTTTATAAATAAAGGCCAAAATATTTGTGATTTTATACTATTTTATAATTTATTTGTCAATCAGTCCTTATTTTGTCCTATATCGTTAAAAATAAAACTTTTTTTAAATAAATTACAAATAAATAAATAAATTTAGCTTATTTAAACTAAAAATTAATAATTCAAAAGTTCATAAATTGCAAGAAGTAAATAATACCACATTGAAATAAGAAGGAAGATTAGAGGATTGTTTAAACAATTAAGTTCTCAGCAAATTCTTGTAATACATTTCCGACAGTGTTTGTTAATTCTGACAAAATCATAAATACACTTTTTTTTAATGGAGAGGGGGCCAAATTATAAGTTAGGGTTCAAATTAAGGGTTGCTGGATTCAAACCTGGGACCCTTAACCAAGCCACCAACACCCCCTCAAACATCTTTAACTTCCGTTTAATTGACGATGGCATTAATAATTATACGGTTTCAAAATTTAAAGTAATAAACTGCAATTTATTGTTAACTTACTCAGAGAATGGCAAATAAATGTCCAGTGGATGATAAAACTTGGTTTATTACCCCGCAGGTTTATTTTATCAATAGCTTCATTGCTGCCTATCATCCTGGTCTTGTTTTTTCATTTTGCAATCTTCAGTGTGTTATTATGTCAGCTATATCACTTTTATAAGTTAGTAAACTACAAAAAAGATATAAAGAAAGACACAATTGTCAAAACACAAAGCATAATTTGATGGATGTCAGACAGGCAAAACGAGTACGAAAAGGCAGATCAGAGATGATCAAGCTAAAATATTTAATTGAGAAATGTTTTCATGTGGCCTGGGAGGTCATGAACCTGTAGTGAGGTCTTTTCCAATCATTTTGACCTATCTATCCTCACTTTTTTTATTAATTAATTTTGTTATATTTATAATGTAATTTCTGAAATAACATATATGCTAATTCAAACAGTTCAAATTCAGACAATATACAAAAATTAATTACAATTGTGAGTTTAAAAATTTGAAAACTTACTGCTTATAGCAAAAATGTTAAAAGTCGAGACCGAATATACATTTCAGACTGGAAAACCAATTGGAAAGACATCCGATTTTTTCTTTTCTGTCATTTTGGCTACTGTCCTTCAAAATAGTGATTAGATTTTTAATTAAATCGAAAGCCTTAAATTGATTGCCAATATTTAACCAAACCAATGGCTCCCCATGCAATCCCTGGTCCATCCAATCTGGCAGACCCAGCACCATTCAAAATCGCACCTTGAGCAGACCATATGCATGCAACCGCCTACAAATAATGTATTAAAATTATACATTCTAAGCTAAATCATTTATTTTAAAAAAAATAACCTGATCTTTCTGTGGCAGTTCTGCATTTTGGACAGGGCTTCGTTTTGACCCGGATTGTAAGTTTTGTCGCTTCATCCCATCTTGCCTTAAAAAAAAAGTATTTAATAAAAAAATAAAATGGTTTTGAAAATAATCTTACTTGGGAGGCTTTTAATGGGTCTATTTTGTAAGATGAATCTCCTTCTATTAGTGACAGAGTGGAAGGTACTTCATCACAGTCACCCGTGTGATTTCCTTGAAGACATTTTTTACAGAAGACGAACCCGCACGAACTGCACTTGACAGAATCACAAGTAGGATCAGGGAATATGCCATTCCCACAGTTTGGCTGAGGGCATAAAACACCCCCATTTTGAAGGACATAATCTTCCACACCAAACCTTTGATACTGCGCGTACTATTTAAAAATAAACAAAACAACAAATGTTTAAAGGCTAATTTAAAATTAAATTTAACTTACAAGTTGTGGAGTCGTTTTCATAAGTAAAAAGTGCTGAGTGGCAGCAATAAGGGAGTCCTTACAGCCAGTCGGACAAGGCAGAGTGTACCCAATTGTTTTATCTAGTACAAACTTTCTCTCAGATAATCGAGACAAGCAGTACCTTAAAAAACATGGTATGCAGGTACAGTGGCCCACACTGCAAGGAAACACCAACACAGGAGATCTAAAATAATTAATAAAAACTACAATGGCCAATTATTAAAACCAAAATGGAAAAACAGCTTTAACCTCAACCACCAGACCTTGCTCCTTCAGACTACATCTGATCAATGACGCTCTTAAAAGAAAAATGTTTCTTTATTGGCTTTTATTTGTAAAATCTGGAGTAGGTAACTTTTCCAATCATTATTCAAGAATGTAATTAGCTATATTTTGTTGACTGCAAATGATTAGATGGAATAAATCTAATTTTAATTATGGAAATGTTTTTCTTTTTTATGTGTTTGTTACATCAGTGCGAGTAGTCTTAGTTGTTAGGGTGCATAACTCTGCTAGTAGTTCTGGCATCGAATTCCAGCAAAGCCCTTAGAGATTTGAGAATAATTTGAAAAAATTATTGTTAAGTGGTTCTGACCCCTCCTCTATGATACCCAATGGGTAGATGGACGTTATGCCCTCCCTATGATGCGGAAAAAAATAATTTTAAATTTAGAAATGTTTGAGTACATTTTTGTAGGCCCTTGCATATGTATAAGCACAATATTTCTTACATTACTGAACATTGATTTATATATGCTCAGAAGTGCATGCAGGCGTGCGTGTGTGGAGCCAACTTATCACTTCTTGCAGCCCGCCAGTAATTTCAGCTTTTTTATAATATAAAATAATAACAGTACAATAATTATCGGCCTCGAGAATCACTCACACGGGGTGTTGGCAGACCGAGGTCAAACCTTGGTCTTATCTATCCTACCACCAATGTTGGGATCTCAACCGCTAGGCCATTCTTATTCTCATTCACTCTTAAATTCTTTCCTATTTACATACCATTCACTCAGCTAAGTTGGTGAAGTACTCAATACTCCTCTATCACTCTTTACACCTATATAGCTAACCTAATTGTTGGTCAATTGTGTACTCAATATTTCGCCATTGGTCCTCTCACATTACATATTCATTCAAATAAATACATTCACTCTCAACGCTCACAAGGGAGCACAAAAAAATCAGCACTGAATCAGAACAGAGTATTAAAATACTCGCTTTCATGCTCAAACACATTTCTTATATCGGAGGGGGTGGTCCTATGCAGCACTCTCTATAAGGAGCCAAGGAACGGCAACTGCCAATTAAGTGGGCCACATCTACCAACCTTTCTCTACATGCTGGACAATCTCATGGACTTTGGCACAAATGTAAGTGTTCATGTGTCTACCTCTAATATTGTTTTAATTATTTATTTGACAAGACTACGTATATGCAGAGGTGGTCATATAGACCTTCAGGGTATTTTTGGAAAAGCCCTTGTTGGTTCGAATTCAAAGATGCAGAGATTTTAACCCAGCACTCATACAGTAATGTCATATCAACACTGCTATTGCCTCTGTTGCCCCTACTGATTTGATTTATAGTCTTTAATGGTTGCTTTTTTCATTTAGTTTATTACATTTCTCATATTTTACCTTTTTATAGTTTCGATATCTCAGGCTTGTTTTTCAACTTTCACTCATCTAAACTTATTTTTAATTCTTACTCTAGTAATCTCCACACTTTTTATTTTCTTGTTATTTTCTAAGATGCAGGTGCTACAATCACCAAGGGTCATGTTTACCCAACCCCTTTAACCTTTCCGGGACTAGTGACGAAACATCTCGTTTAGGCTTGTATGCTTCCCAAGCCCTGACAATTTTTTTTTTTTAAATACTTTTAGGAGCCCTAGCTGGACACCCATACCGTTCCTTTCCCATCTTCATAATCAACGAACCACTCTTTTCTCCCACTTCTGTTTTACAATCTGGCCTCTCACTCAAGTTTTGTGAAACTGCTACACATTCCTTTTACTGGAAAATCATTTAGCCACAATAACTATTCTCATTGGGAATGTCCTTTCATCTACCTATCGCCCCTGTCCTTCTCTACCATCTACACTCTTGTTTTTCTGATGTTTCGCCTTTTGCCTGCCAAGTTGCCTCAGTTTTAGTTTTACATGATTTACATTCATAGTTATTTCCAAAATTTATTTTTGTTGACCTTATTATGTATTTTATATATGTACTTTTTTCAACTCTATACTTCGTGTGTTTGTATGAACATATGTATGTGTGGAGCTAAATAAATAAATACTATATATTATTTCTGTATTATGTTTTAAAATGCATAATGATGACCTTTTGAGTGAAATAATTTTCAATTAAATATAACTTTGTTTTTTTCCTTACATTTACTTACTTCCAAAGTAAAGTATAATATCTGAGTCATGTACTGCAAAATTTTGAATGGAATTGGTGCAACATAAAAGGGGTGAGAGATTCAAAATTTGATGACATGACCAAAAGGGGGTCTTGTAGTAGCTGAGGCTACAGGCAGGGGAACGCATTTTAGCATCCATAAATAAGTCCCGAAGAGGTTAAGGGTTTTTCAAATATTAAAAAAAAAGTTATAACTTTAAATAAAACATACACAATTTCTGTACAAGCAAGACATGGAACTTCCATTGAATTAGGGCGTATCAAGTGGAGAGATGATGCTTCTTCTTTTTCATTTGTGGTAGTGTGCTCGGCACATTTAAAATAAAATTCTGCCCAAGCGACTGCACCAGCCTGTCAAGAGTATTATAATCAAACGGTTTAAGAAAACAAAATTATAAAACGTATTATTCTCACAGGGCAATTTTCTTCTTCACAATGGCCAGAAATCCTCTTTGGTTCGAGGACATCGCTCCAAGATGCAGGGTCTGAATCTACAGTGATGGCCCCGCTCCCGCATGTTGCACATCTGACACGCAGTTTCCCTTCATGCGGCCTCTCGCCTTTCGGCCCACACTGACTGCAAAACACGTAAAAATGGACTTTTTCACCTAACTCCCTCGTCGGGCTATCCCTCCCTGGATTTTCCTCTTCCAAGGCTGCGAGGGTTTGATTCAACGGCCTTGATTTATTACTGTCCCGCTTACTGACAACCATGTGGAGGATGCTTTGCTCTCCCAAATCACATTCCTTTGGAAATAAAATATGAAAGCTAGTCAGCGTTCATTGAACCGAATAACACCTTTGCATATTTCTTGAGCAAATTATTAAAATTAATCAATTTCGGATTTGTTTTTACCTCGATTATTGTCGAATCGTCAAGAAGTTTACCAGCTAGGATGAATTCAACGTTGTCCGGCGGTAGTCCCAGCTTGGGTGCCACGATTTCCTTCACTTCTTTTATATCCCATTTCGGGTCAAGCTCGACTGGCAGCTTGTCACCTTTTGTGGACTTTATGTAGACGCTAAGCCGGTTCGAAAGGGACTTCTTCCCGGACGAAAAAAGGCTCAACAACGAATTCCAGAAGTCCCATAACAAATCGAACATAAACATCATGCTTTGGTGTGATTCAAAAGAAACCTTCCTTCTAAAGGTGTCCTTAAGGACAACACACACAAGGGTCAGTCCAAATATCCCTTAAGGATAAATTATTTAATCTAAATTAGAATTATTAAAATAATAGTTTTTAAGAGAAATATCTTAAAGCAAATATTTTTCATAAAAACCAATGCAGTATTCCTGCTATAATAAATTAAATTTGGTCTTTTGGGCTTGCATATTGAGCACCAAAAGAGCCCTAAAGTAGGGGGAATTGGAAATATGATAAACCATTAAAAAACTCATTATATTAATTAAAATAATTCGAATTAATTAAGATAGTATTTAAGAGAAAAACCTTAGTACAAATATTTAAAAAAAACTCAATGCAGTATTCCTGCAAATAAATTAGTCTTTGTCCTACTGGGCTTACATATTGAGAACCAAAATAGCTCTACTAAGATAGATCAATCATAATCTAAACTAATTATATTAATTAAAATAATTCAAATTAAGCTAGTTTTTAAGAGAAAAATCTTAAAACATATATTTAAAAAACAATGCAGTATTCCTGCTAATAAATTAATCTTTGGCTTACTGGGCTTGCAACTTGTATATGATACATCACAATCTAAACTTATTATATTAATTAAAATAATTCAAATTAAGTTTTAAGAAGTCTTTAAAAAAAATTGCAGTATTCCTGCTAATAAATTTTGGTCTACTGGGCTTACACATTGACAACCAAAATAGTTCTAAAGTATGGGGATTTGTTAAATCATAATCTAAACTAATTGCATTAATTAAAATAATTTAAATTAAACTAGTTTTTATGAGAAAAATCTTGAAAAAAATATTTTAAAAATGCAGTATTCCTGCAAATAATTTAGTCTTTGTCCTACTGGGCTTGCATATTGAGAACCAAAATAGCCCTAAAGAATGGGGATATGATCAATTATAATCTAAATTAATTATATTAATTCAAATTAAGCATCCTTAAATTAAATCTTAAATAAAATATTTAAAAAAAATAATGCAGCATTCCTGCTAATAAATAAATAAATAAATTATTATTCTCAGGTTCAAATCCAGCTCCCCTGCTTTCTAACGTGATATACTTACAAATAGATTTTTTTTCCAAAAACACCTACAACAGACAGAAAAAAACCCAAACATACATACAAAGAGAAGATTAAAACACTTTAAACCTACAAGGAATTAAACTATACATGGAGAAAGCTTGAATTATAAAGAGAGGAAGTGGTTCCATTTTGTTTTATAAAATGCTCTTTTTGTCCCTGTTACAAAAAATATTTCATATTAGCGATTGTATTATCCCAGAATTATCAAGATTTGACTGTATAAGAAAGTTATTGTACAGGCGTAATGGTCAAAGGGGCAGCCCTTTCACCCGTGAGATAGGAACCACAGTTAGGCACACCAGAGAGTATGGAGAAGACGGTGTTGAAAAAAATGGTTATTCAAAGAACTCAAACACTGGACAAAAGTACCACGTATGCAGAAATTATATTATATATGCAAAATAATAAACATAAACAGTAAAATATTTATTTACACAAACATCCATATAAATCTTGCTAGTATTAGCAATAAAACAATAGACAAAGTGTAAAATATGCTTTTCTTTTCATTGTTGCCATCCTGTTTTTTAATCTGTACATCTCGAACGGTGTGAACTTCACCGTGCATGCTATATTTTGTTGCTGAGGTGATTTTTACCCTTACTTGTTTGCCCATCAACGCTTCATCTTTGGGAACAAGAATCTATTGGGAAAAAAAATTATATTACTTTCTTTTTGCAATTTGTTTATTTTCTTACCTGTTGATATGATTTGTTATGACCAACATAATGTTTATGGTCATGGGCTTCTTCAGTAACAAGTACATCATACTCATTCCCCACCAGATTGGTATAAGGCTCGTAAGAATGAAATAGCTCTGTCAGTTCCTTTGTCCTTTTTTTAACCTATAATTACAATTTTGGTTTTAACATATAAGCATAAAAATTTTTTGAATTACCTCTTGTGCAGGTATTTTCTGCATTTTTGCTGCAGGCGTTCCAGGACGAGGGAAAAACTGATTAATAAATAAAGATGGGAATTTATATTTTTCACACAATGTCATAGTCTCTTTAAAATCTTCTTCAGTTTCAGTAGGAAAACCACATATTATGTCGGTAGCTATTGTCATTCCGGGTACTCTGATAAATACATTTATATTATTTCAAATTTATTACAAATAGTCTAGAAAGGAATACCTTTCTTTAAGATAATTGACAACTTTTTCAAAATCATTCCTTGAATATTCTCTTTTCATATCAGATAAAACAGCATCACTTCCTGACTGCACGGGTACATGCAAGAAGCTATATACCCTTTTATGATTTAATATTCTTGATATAGCCTTTAATAAATAAAATCATAAATAAAAACAAGTAAAAAATTATCTATAAATTTTAAGACCTCTAGATGTTCAAGTATGTAAGGGGGGTTCGTCATTCCAATCCTTAGCATACACCCTTCAGGAATTACAGGCACAAGGGCGTCCAAAAGTTCTGGCAGTGAAGTGCCAATGTCACGCCCGTAAGCACCCGTGTCTTCTGATGTAAGCCAAATTTCTACAACCCCTTCTGAAAAAGCTTCCCTAGCTCTTTCCACGATTTCCTCTGAAATGATGTAAAATTACCAAATTGATAATCTCTATAATAAAATAAATACACATACCGACTGGATAACTCCCTAGATCACCCCTCGCGTGTTTCGTCTTGCAGTACGTACACTGGTTTAAACAACCGGTATTAATGGCAATTATCTCAATCAGTGGGTTCCGCCTCACTTTTGGAAGAGATAAAGAAGCACCTCCTAATTTTTTACCAAAAGACCTTTTCTGGCCTAACAACCTCACAGAGTTTCCTGAAAAGTTCCTACACATAAAAATCAATTTTAAAAGAAATCAATTGAAGAATGAATGATTTATACCCTTGAGAGATTCTTCGACAACTTCGACTACCCGGTCTATCTGCTGTACACCTATTATACTCAGCCCTTTAAGGAAATCTGACTTCGGGGCTCCTTGCGATACACAGCCAGCGACGACAACACATTTACCAAGCTTTTGGCCAGATTGGATTTCATTTCTACGAATAAAATAAATAAAACATAAAATATACAAAACATTGTATATCCAAGAAGACAAACTTACCTGAAGTGATCCTCGGCAGGATTTTTGACTGTACAGCTGTTTAATACCCAAACATCAGCATCGTATTTATTATCTACAAGTTACAACTGATCAACATTGGATTTCTTCTAAAGTAGATGCTATCTTAGATTGAAACAGAACTGTGCTTTGGGGGAATAAAATATTGTATTCTAAGTTTTAATTAGATTTATACTTTTCACATATCTAAACATAAGTAAAAACAAGACAGTTTTTTATTAAAAAAATTCTGTAGCCTTCTCATATATAAGCTATCGTTTTCAATCCACAATAATGAATGTGAAAAGAGACCTTTTCTTTAGTTTTGAACTTTTAGCTTTTTAAAAATATGAACAATGGAATATGAAAAGCATAAGGTCAGGGCTGTTAAAAGCTTGAAATAATTTCCTCAAAAATCCTGACATTTAAATATTTCAATTTAACATCTAGTCTGCTATATGTAGCAATGATTTGGAACTTGTTGGCTTGTAAAATAAGTATATAAATATAATTACCATAAGTAGTAAACATAATTGGAATTAGTAATTTGGTCAATTAAACCACTAAGCATAAATAGACTTATAAAATAATTAGTATTTTTCAATAAAGTTTTTTATTAGTTTCAATGTTTATGTATTCATTATTGTTTACACACTCTGAAAAAGGATAGGAGGTAATGGAGGAAACATAGTGCATTTTCGTCATTTAATGGGTTTTTATTACTGGAAAGGGAAAACAGGAAAATAGGATGGGAAAATTTGTGATGTGTATGGAGATGATGTTGAAAGCACTGTTTATAAGTGGCTTGCTCTGTTCAGAATTGGAAATTTTCAATTAGACGACTCAAAGCGCTCTGATCATCCATTAACCATTAACAATGCTGATGACCAAATTCAAGTTTTTTTCACAAATAACCCACACGAGACATTGCAGACATTTAACATATTGCATAAAAGCCTTTTCTAATACAATCAGGAAGAATTTATTTGGCCTTATCTCCATCTAATTCCCTCCTACACAGTACAAATGACTCATGATGGTTCTTCTAGTTTGCAACTTTCGATATGGCTAGACCTGGAATAGTCCCGATGCATTAAATTGTTTTAACTTTTCCCATTGACCTAAACTAACTTAGTTAAGAAGCCCCATTTAGAATCGATTTTAAAACTCATTAAATCTTACACTCATTCCAAATGCCTACAGGTAAAGTGATCCTAGTCGGGGAGGAACAGTCCCGATGTCTTAAATTGTCTTAAGTAGAATGGCTTTGACATTTTTCAGAACACTATACTTTTTTCAAATTGACCGTAGTTGAGTTACAACTTTATAACCCATCACAAGAAACACAAATCAACAAAATTTTGTGGCTTAAGCCATCAATTAACTCCTGAATAATAAGTACAGGCTAAAAGCATACATCTAATTAAAGCTGTATTGAATTGTTTTGTAAAATATGGAAAAAATGCACATAACAAAAACATATTTTTCAATGTAAAGGTATGATTACATCTGACAGTTATTTCGTGATATTTATGTCAGACTGAAATTGTGGCTGGTGTAAACAGTGAAGAATTTATATCATATATATATTTCAACCACTAGCAGCTTGTGTCGACACTTTAATACCAATAGACACAAACACTGGTTAGTTGCAATTTTGTTCGACACAAGTTGCAAAAGTTGGTCATTCATCTACTTTTCTACCATTGCAATAATCATCGTATCAACATGAGTGACAAAAAAGGGGTGTAAATCTAAAAAAAAAAAAAATAAATAAATAAATAAAATACATTTTTTATTTAATATTAGGTACCTACATACCAGATGCTAAAAATTGCAAAGTTACAGCAAGTAGTTCTGTTATACTAATATGTTTTTGAATTTGGGATTTTGCTTTTATATAAAGGGAACAATTTTACAAGCAAGATTTTTAGAATTAGCAGGTTTCGTTCTTAAAAAGTTCAGAAACTGAGCTGCGCCCTCAATAATGAGCTCAGACGTTGATTGATTGTGGGCACCGATTTTGTCGTTTTTTTCTTCCTTTTCAATTTTAAAATAATTACACAGAGCGAAATTTTACGTTTTGATGCTTTTATCATGTCAAGATAAAATCAACTGTATGCAGAATGAAAGATAGGCACAAGTATATAGGCCACAAGAATACACAAAAATATGTAATTATTTAAGATCGAGAGATGCGGTCTTGCGTCTCACGACTTCCAAATAATCATTAATTAACAGTCACTAAATACTAAACAAAAATATATGTTGTATGTAAACGGGTTGTGTATTTATTTCAAGTTTCGCACTTTGAGAACTGTCGTATATACATCTATAATATAAATTTCTAGTAATTTCTATCTGTTAGTAAACAGCCGAAGCAATTTTTTGTCTGACACTTGACATATTTCCAGACAAAAGTGTCAGATGTAAGAGTACCTTTAGAAGTATTGATCACTTTTTCCTCATGAACACTCTAGATCAAGGTCTTGAAGAGAAAAGTGAATTTGGTAGTTACTGCCATGCTTTCTTCAAATTTTAACGTCATCATCAGGGCAAAACAATCTTAAATATGTATAAAGACTGATTCAGTCCTAACAATAACAAAGACTGTAACACAGGTTAACAGGTTACAGTCCTTGGCAATGTTAGGACTGAGTTGGTCTTTAAGTCAATTTGAGATTGGCTGTAAAATACTTACAATACTTATATGTCAATCTGTAGACATATTTAAGATTGTTTTACCCCGATGATGACCTTAAAATAAGACGAAAGCTTGGCAGTAACAACTGAATGTGATACCTATATGATAATTTACCTGTTAATGTATAACCATAGGCGGAGAGAAGACCTGCCATGTACTCGCTGTCAGAGCTGTTATGTGTGCAGCCCCAGGTCTTCATGAAGACAGTCTGTGTGCCTGGAATTACACTCTTTGGTGCTTTGAATTCTTTCGGTTCTTCTTCCAATTTTGCGTCAATTCGGATTTTCTTCTTCTTCTTTGCCCTGTACGTCACGCCGTCCCTGGCGAAATCCCTGCCTACGTCGATGTCCTGGGAGGCGAGGAGGTCCTCGATGTCCTCCACGATCTCGCACGCACTCGGCATCGCGGGAAAAATAAAACCAAGAATCACTGCTTTCCTACATCCGACTCTTCTGCAAAGTTGTTTTATAAATTGTCACGAGTCGGGAAACAACTAACAAGCACGTTAAGGTTGTAAAGCGGCAACCTTCGTGTAACCTCTTTTCTAGAAGTAATTTTTAAACGAGGTTCATGCCGGGGAAGGTTCTGATTAAAATTTATCTTAAATTTTTTTTAACGATAAATAAAACGATAATTTTCTTTAAGTGGAACTGTTTATTAAAGTGAAAAATAAGAAAAAGAGGAACTGATATCCAAACACCAATCTGAATAGTTTATAGACGTCTTTGGAGTCCGAGTCGGATTTGAAGTTTTGAGCGCTGTTTCTGCTGTAAACTGTAAGCAGGGACGTTCTAGACCATTCGCTCGCATCGAGGCCGTCTACTTCTTTTGGAAGATTCTCCCTTTATACCGAAGAGATGTCGGCACAGAATCTTTTGTGCTATAATAGCGGGTGCGGGATGACTTTCGACCCCAAGGAGAACAAAGAAGGTGAATTTCAACGTTTAAAAACTTCTTTTACATTCCCCCCTGGATCAGAGCCCAGGATAAAAGAAACCTCGTGGTTCTTTTACATCCCTAAATATCTGTTAAATGAGCACGTTTTTCCATAAAAATATTTTCAGGTTGTCGTGCAAGAAACACTAAAACTATTATGGTAATAACAAGTTTGAATTATCAGATCATCCCTTCTACTGTAACTTCTGAACAAGTTTAAAGTTACTATTAACTTTTTTCCTCTATTTATGAAACCGTTTGCTCATCTTGACAATAATGCTGAACGCAAGAAATTTATACATGAACACTGACAGCCTATTTTTACATGCAGACCTTTGCCCAAAAGATTTTGTCAATAGTATAGGACTTAATGCTAGGCTCTGTCTAGCATCACATGGAGAGCGATTAAGACAAGGGAAGAGAGTTGGCTAATCCTCATCTCTCTGCACCTATACACCGCACCTTGCACAACTAGTTTGGTTTAGTTTTTAACAGACACAGATTGTGTGAGCTCCAGTGAAGAATTTATTTTTTACTTTTTTATTAATGTTTCATTTACCTATCTATTCTATGTTGTCTTTATATATTCTTAGTACAATTTTATATAAAAAAATTTATAATTTTGTATAAAACTTCGTCTCATCGCACTTTAGATGTGAAAGGAGCGAGTAAAATTCCCCTTCAACACATCTTTTTCCATGCGTCATGAACCCACATTCTTCTCCTTCTGTGATGATTTCTTTGCCAATTAACATCTTCCTCAAAAGCAAGAGGAATTCTTGATCATTTCATCCCTAATTCACTATTTTTAAAAACTTCTTAAAACTTTTTCTCAATGAAACGAAGTATACTTCGAACATTATAGCTTTGAAGCTACTGAACTACTGAGTGTGTTGTCCATCACAGTACGAACAAGTGGGGTCCTCATTCACCATCACCGGTGGCATGGGCCCAGTGCAGTCATATGGGGTCCAGCCATTATTCTTAGCCAGTTGAGATGCCTGCGACTGCTTATTTTACTTTAGTGATTGTGTTTTAGTATCAGCATGCCAAATCATAACGATTTGGTTTTGATATATTGATTATATTAATCTATGGTTAGAGTTTGTCTAGCCTGGTTTAACAATTGAAGTGTGTTGTGTAGTCCATCAGCTCACACAGTTTACATGTCACTCAAATTTGTTTCATATTTGTCTCATGTTCAGTACTTCTCTGTGTCAATCAATTCAGCATGTAAACATTTAATTACATATTTAGTAGTTATTGATTTTGGGGTGCATATTGGTCTTTTATGGCACATTTTGCCATCTTCAGTGATATCTTTTTATCTCTCTTTCCTCCGACTCATTTTCTCTTTCTTGCTTTATTTCAACTTCAATGAATAGTGTGTGTTGATAAGTTCAATGTGTAATATGGCCATTTGTGGTTTTGGTATGTCCATTTTCGCTGAATTTGTTTATTTATGGCACATTTTTACATCAGTGATCTCTGTTTATCTCTCTTGTTTCATGCCATGTTCAATGATCTGTCTTTCTCTCTTTTCTCATTCTTTCCTCCCTCCATCTCTTTTTTTTCTTCTTGCAATCTTCAGTGAGCCTTCACCAAAACAGTTCTGAGAAACCAACCCTGCGAACATAGACAGTAGACAGATTGAAATGGCCAAATAACAGGTTCATCACCCAGCAGACAGAAGAAATCTCTTGGTTCAATATGTGTTCAACTCACAGACTATAATGCACCAATATTATTGAAGTAAGGCTGAAAGAGTTCCACATTTTGGATTCAAATGTGAACACATTCAAGTTATCAAAGCTGAACATTTGCATACACACTTTTGTTCAATCCTTCTTTAAAAAGATAGTTCCTACTCACAGTAAGTTGTTTTGCAACGATCTGGATTTCGAGCTCTTTAGCTCATGGTCAGGTTGTAGAAGCCCTTCAACCTGATGATGAGCTAAAGAGCTCGAAATCCGGATCATTGCAAAACAACTTACTGTGAGTAGGAACTATCTTTTTAAAAGAGGATTGAACACCACACTCACTCCATCATTTAACATTTCTACCACTTTTATTCATGGTATGACTTATGACTTTTCCTTCTTGAAGGTGAGATAATAGGTCATCTTATTAGGGCAGCAGTAACCAATATAATGACAAACTTTCATAATAAAAATAAAAATAAAAACAACACCTCATTAGACAGACACGAATTGAAAATTAAGAAATAGATGACCTATTTTCCCACCTTCGAGAAGGAAAAATCATAAGTTAAACTGTTGAGGTCAAAATATAAGAAAACATCGTGGTATGCATAGTCACTTAGAATGCACAACAAATGTATCTTGAATTTTTTTATGTGGGGGGGGGATCATTCAATTACTATTTAAATTGCAAATATAAAAATGTCAATAACTCAGTGCTTGCAAATGTCATTTGTACCATATTTATTGAGATTATACTGTACTAAATTAAATAATAATATTATATAATAGTAAAACAAAACAATTATTACTTGTAATTTGCAGATTCTTGCAGATACCACAGTGGAGTTCCAGTTTTCCATGATGCTTACAAAGGATGGTCTTGTTGCAAGAAAAAATGTACTGATTTTACAGAATTTCTCAATATAAAGGTAATAGTCAAGGATTTTTTTACTTCTGAGTTTTGTCTGTCATGTTTTAATTGCAATAGGGCTGCTGCTTATCTTATCATTCGAACGTGAAACCACCCGAACCTGAGAAACCACAGAATGCCGTTATAGAACAAGAAGTTATTGAAGTTAAACCAATAATGGCGCAAAGATTACCACGGCCACCTTTAGACACGCCATTGGTTTGTTTTATTTAATTTTTCCTCAATGAAATCAACTAGTTTAATAAACAATTGATATACAAAAAATACAATGTGTACATTACAGGTGCAGATTAAACCAACTGTTACAGATTCGCTGATTAAACAATTATCCTTGTTAACATGTGAGAAGCAAAGCAGTGTACAAGTCGATGACAATGTTCTTCAGATTGGGACCACTTGCAAAAACAATTCTTGTAAAACGGTAATTTTTCTAATATCTTTATCACTGATCGAATTATACTCTTTTAATTTTAGGTTTATGAAGGGCCGCATACGAATGAGACTACATGCACATATCATTCAGGTGTGCCAATATTCCACGAAGGGCTTAAATATTGGACATGCTGCATGAAGAAGACAACTGATTTTGAAACGTTCCTTTCCCAAGTTGGCTGTAAAACCGGGGATCATGTTTGGACACAAAAAAAGGTATTTCTGTTCTTAAAAAAAAAAATAATAATAATAATAATATTTTACTTGACAGCTAAAAGCTGGTGACATCAAGTGTCGGACAGATTGGCACCAGACAGAAAAATTTGTCTATTTTACAATTTTTGGAAAGAAAGCTGATCCTGATAATTCTACATTTGAAATGAATCCCATTAGGATTAAATTCTCCCTGTTCTTCCCTGAACAGAGTGGTAGCTTTGAAAAAGACATGGAGCTCAGTGGGGTAAGTCAAACAATACTTACAAAACGTTTCAAAATGATCGTTATTAAATTATTTTCTTAATTTTCAGATAATAGATATAGAAAATAGCAAGGTAACAATGTCACCAGCGAAAGTAGAAATTCAATTGAGGAAAAAAGAACCAGGCAGCTGGTCTAGATTTGAAGCGATCAAGTACGAAGATTCTAACGATACCAAATTTAAAGATTCTGATAAGAAAGAAGAAACTTCACAGATTGAATCTGTCGATTTAAGCTGTATATAAATAAATTACAAAACCAAGATGTTTTACTTAATTTTTTAAAATCTTTTTTATTACTACATGATATTTTTAATTTAGTTTTAAATCACTATTTCAACAAGCTGTGCATATAAAAATATCAGTCATTGTTAATGAAACAAAGTCATTGTAATTAAACATTTTTTTATCTATTTAACTTAGCGGTATGTGGCTGGTGTTATACTAGTTGTATCCCTTTTATAACTTTTGTTAAAACTAAAAATATCACAGAATGTACTAACAGGTCGGACAAAAACCAATGGGACTAGGCAAAACACGATTAAAATATTACGAATAAAGCCTTTGCTCTGAAGATTTGATTGAACTAGTTTTACATTATAAACACGAAAGTTAAAGAAAAAAAAAATGTTACAAAAGTTTTGTTAGCAGCTATTCCCTGTTTCTTTTTTTAATACTTATTTACTATTTCTTTATCTTTAGAAACATTATTGACATGTTGCTGGTATAGATTTTTTAACCAGTTAAAAATTGAATTTTCAATTATATTAGCAAGCCAATTGTTAATTTATGTGCCATGAAATGACCAAAACCTAAAGATAATTTTCATGATTTGGCAGTTTATTTTGAAACTCTATTGACTTCTTGTCAGCTTTTTTGCTTAAAACACTGAATTTGTGTCACTGCTTGATCATTTTTTCTTGCTGTCGGTTAATTGATATACTATTAAATGGCTAACAAAAAGTTCGAAATAGAAATGATAAATGTGCAAAACTGGAAAAAAAAATGTAAAAATGGCTCAACATCCCTGGAAAAAGAAATCAGAAATACATAAAGCCTACAATAAATTAAATGTAGTTTACATGCAAAAGATAAATAAAAACATAATTATATTAGCTGCTGGTGCAATAATAAAATATTAATAATAACATGCTCACTTACCTGACTGCCAGCAGAGAGAGTTGATTTACCATTTGTAAGTCCCTCCTGGGAAAAGAAAAAATTCTATTAAAATTTGAGAATAGAAGACTAGGTATTTATAAAAAAATGTTATATAAATAACATTTACCCTCTGAAGGCAACAATCCTTGAAGTAAAACACCTTCGATGAATCAGCTAACTACACACTGTTCTACACTCGCGGAGGAACTTAACGCACTGTTTAAATAGCACTTTTGAAAAATGAAAAAAAAAAAATGTATAAATGCCTCAACACCATTGGAAATAGAAAACAGAAATGTATAAGCCTACAATAATATAAATGTAGTTTACACGCAAATGTTATGTAGAAGATAATAATTATATTAGCTTTTAGGGAAACAATAAAATATTAATACTAACATGCTCACTAACCTGACTGCCAGCAGAGAAAGTTGATTTACCATTTGTAAATCCCTCCTGGGAAAGAAAAAATTCCATTACAATTTGAGAATAGAAGACAAGGTATTTATAAAAAATAGTTGTTATATAAATAATATTTACCCTCTGAAGGCAACAATCCTCGCCTTAAACAGCTTCGATGAATCAGCTACCTACACTGTTCAACAGTCACGGAACAACTTAACGCACTGTTTAAATAGCACTTTTGGAAAATGTAGGAAAATATACAAAATGGCACACCACCACCTAGAAATGAAAATGAGAGAAATATATATAGCCTACAATAAATGACATACAATTTCCATGACCAGTTTTTTATCTGATCACACAAAAAATTGTACTATTGTATTATTATGTATTGTTACTAAATGTAACAGACATTTACAAAAAGGGAAGATTATGATTTATTGTACAAATCCTTTACAGAATCTCCATACAAATAATTTTAATAAATGTTAAGTAATTTTTGTTTTTACCGTGAATGGAATTTGTTTTTTATTAACCAATAACCAATAGAACAATAGAAGAAATAAAATAATCTTTTAGAAATAAACGAGAAAAACCGAAAAAATGTTCATTGTCTGGTTCGATAAAAAACATCCTGCTGGTTGATAGGACAAAAGATTAAGTTCGTAAAGCTCTGTTTTTTGAAAATGTACAGGAACAACCTAGAAAAAAAGGAAACCATTTTTCTTTTTCTTTTTGGATGTAAAACGACCTGCCAAGTTGATTAAAGGAAGAAGTATGGAATGCAGTCATTGTTGCAGAGGAACATGATCTAATAGAGTTGGTAAAAAAAAAACCTCAGAAAATTGAGGAACTGAGGGCAACAATATTCGGTTTCTATTATTTTTTAACATTTTCCAACGTTTATTTATTTATTTATTTATTTTATTTTTTAATTTAGCTGCAATACGTTCTAATTATCTGTAAGATTTTTTTGACGGCCTGTCATCCGCCATGCTGTTTTTTTTTTCGTTTTTTTTTCCGGCTGGCCAGGTATTCGTCAGGTCAACCTTGAAAAGGGATAGACGATTCTAAAAATTTCGATATTATCCCAATTTTTACTTAATTGATTTATAAACTTTGAGACGTGTAATTTGAATGATTCCATCTAGATATAATTAATTGATGATTAAAAGCTGACTTGATCTTCAAGCTATCTTAGATATAACTAAATGGCACTTGAGTTTGCTGCGAATAGAATATCAGCCTATATGAAATTGTATGACAAGTAATTCCATATTTGCTTAGTGGGTCATAATTGATTAATTATTCCAATTAATTATTATTTTTATTTAAGGTTTTTGGTTGAGATGAAAAATTAGTCACAGTAGCTCAAGTGGTTAGAGTAGCGGCGTTTTGAACCGAAGGTCGTCGGTTCGCATCCCGCTCGTGACACTAATTTTTCACCTCAACCAAAAACCTTAGATAAAAAGAATAATTAATTGGGATTATATTAAAACTATAAAGACGAACAAATTTCTCTTTATAAATAAAGAAAAAATACCTTTATTGTGGGTTTAAATGAAATTTTAACATCTTAACCGTTTGAGCCAGTAGCCGAAAAGGTTTTTATCCTTATCCCAAAATAAATCAATATCCGAATTATATAATAACTGAAAACTGTTCAATTGACTATTTTCAATGTAATTCATTGAAAACAAACAACGACCGAGACTTTTTTAAACTAATAAATGTCAAAAATTAAAAATACCTTTTTTGAGGACGAAAATGCGATGTTGAATCGATGGCCGCCAGGAGAGAAAGAGAGCGAATGGCGGGAATATTACTTTTCATCACCCCCACCTACACATAATTAATCATACAATTCTCTCACAAATTAATTTAAACATTGGTAAATGTTTAAAAATAATATAAACCGAATATTTTAAATAAGTTTTTTAAATTACGCCTGATTCTTTAAAAATTAAATCATAATTTTCCGCTTTTAGGACATACATTGTTAAGCTGGCAGTGATCTGATAGGCTGACGATTCTCAGGTTGAATAATTATTTCATTTTAAAAATAAATAATTAATTATTAAATATTCCTTAACTTTTTGAGCTATTATTTTTAGAAAGGATTTTGAGTAATGTAATATTTTTTATTTGCACTGAAAGATCCTTGAGTCGCCGGCCGTTTCCCGCCATTCCCAAGGACGATTCAGGCTGCAACTGGCGGACGAGACGGCTTTTTCACGGTGAGCTTTTATTTCGAAATATTATAATTTTAAATTATATAAAAGCAGCTTTTTCGTTGAAATCGAACAGAAATCGTTAATGAAATAATTATCAATCGCCAGTTTTAAATACTGATTTGTTTGATGTATTATTGCGACACAGCGAGTCGATCCAACCTCTTTGGATCGCCTGTTGACTTTGGTAAAAATTTTCCCCCTGGATCAAATATTTTTTCAAGAGGAAAAAGACATTTTTATTAATAGAAATATAATTATTTCAATTAATTATACTTTTTGTCTAAAGTCTTAGTTGAGATGAAAAAGTAAGTGTAACAAGCAGATTTTGTACCCAAGACCTTCGGCTCAATACGCCGCTGCCTAACCACTTGAGGTATCAACTCACAGTCACAATAGTTCAGGTAGTTGGAGCAGTGGCATATTGAACCGAAGGTCGATGGGTTCAAAACCCGCTTGCAACACTAAAAACTATAATTAATTCAATTAATTATACATTTTATCTAATATCTTGGTTGAGTTGAAAAAGTTAGTGTTACTTTGCCCAATAAATTCTTTATGGTATTGAATGGTTGGCATCCTTTGGGTATGTGAAATTCAAGAAGCAACAGTAATTCAGGGTTTGGCAAAGGATATTTGACACTTTTTTCTACTCATACCTCGTCATTTACGGTTGAATTACAAGATTTAACAAACAAAATTAACACACATTGAATATCCATTTAAAAAGTAAGTTAGAAAGTAAAGGAGGTTGTAGTATCAGTAAATATTTAATTTTATTCCTCTGCAATTTGGGTTAATGATACGGAATTTGAACTGAAAAGTTCCTTTATGAACTAAGTCTTACCAGTGTGTTTTAAGCACAGAACAGTGGATACAATAAGTCTTAAAGGGCGCAGTATATATGCACCCTGATTAATACATCTATCAATCGAATTTAAAACATTGTTTCAATGAGTGTTTAAAAAATAAATAAATACAGTTGGTGCTGTTTATTTCAACACTCTGCACATTCCACTAAAACCATCATCAGAAGTGATTCTTGCACCCACAACAAAAGCATTCGATAATATTAAGTCAAAGTTTTTATTTTATTTTAAAATAAGTTCTTTTTACAATAATAAACACTACATGTACAGTATTGTATGTTTTGAACCCTTTGCTATTATATCAATGCTGTTAAAAATCTACATTTTAGTAGTGCACAACATGTTCATTGCTGTTGAAGGTTAAAACAAAAATTACATACGATTTTTTTAAATTGTTTATCTGGGGATTCTATTTGGTATTTGTACAATAAATCATATTCCTCCCTTTATGTAAGTTATATTTAATACATTTTATTTTATTTGAAAGAAAATTTGTCTGTAAACTGTATTTACTTTTTTTTAGGCTTTATACATTTCTTGAGGTTTTCTTTTCTAGGTGATGGTGTGTCGTTTTATATATTCTCCTACATTTTCCAAAAGTGCAATTTAAACAGTGCGTTAAGTTGTTCCATGAGTGTTGAACTGTGTAGGTAGCTGGTTCATCGAAACTGTTTTAAGGCGAGGATTGTTGCCTTCAGAGGGTAAATGTTATTTATATAACATTTTTTTATAAATACCTAGTCTTCTATTCTCAAATTTTAATAGAATTTTTTCTTTTCCCAGGAGGGACTTACAAATGGTAAATCAACTCTCTCTGCTGGCAGTCAGGTAAGTGAGCTTGTTATTATTAATATTTTATTATTGCACCAGCAGCTAATATAATTGTGGTCTTATAAATAACTTTTGCCTGTGAATTTAATATATTGTAGGCTTTATACATTTCAGTTTTCTTTTTCAAGAGTGTTGTGCGATCTTTACATTTTATTTTTTTAAATTTAAACAAAGTTCTATTTAAACAGTGCGTTAAGTTGTTCCGTGAGTGTTGAACAGTTTAGGTTGCTGGTTCATTGAAGCGTAGCTGGTTCATCGAAGCTGTTTAAGGCGAGGATTGTTGCCTTCAGAGGGTAAATATTATTTATATAACAACTATTTTTTATAAATACCTTGTCTTCTATTCTCAAATTGTAATGGAATTTTTTCTTTCCCAGGAGGGATTTACAAATGGTAAATCAACTCTCTCTGCTGGCAGTCAGGTTAGTGAGCATGTTAGTATTAATATTTTATTGTTTCCCTAAAAGCTAATATAATTATTATCTTCTACATAACATTTGCGTGTAAACTACATTTATATTATTGTAGGCTTATACATTTCTGTTTTCTATTTCCAACGGTGTTGAGGCATTTATACATTTTTTTTTTTTTTACATTTTTCAAAAGTGCTATTTAAACAGTGCGTTAAGTTGTTCCGCGAGTGTAGAACAGTGTGTAGTTAGCTGGTTCATCGAAGCTGTTTTAAGGAGAGTCTAAATGTTGTTTCATATAACGTCTATTTTTTTAAACAGCTTCCGTGATCTTTTCTTTATTGTGGTTAATCAAGCTTAAAGTATTCACAATGTTTCTACTTTTACTACCATTATTGATGATATAATCTATATATTAGTAATTAACAAATTATTTTTGAAGTAAAGAAGTTTTGATATACAATTATTAAATGCTTCTAAATAATCTAATTGGTCTTAATCTATAATTATGGATAACTGTGTGTCATGAAATTTCCAACTTTGCCAAACCCAAATCCACTGGAATTATTCCAATACTATTTGTGATATCATCAGTGTTCATTTCTCTGGTTGGTGCTCAGAATAGTGTGAAGAACATGAAATTTTTGAACAGGCTATTTGGCGCCTGTTTGACAAATGTATTTTTTGTAATCTGTTAATGAATAATTTAGGATGATTTTGGCAGTTTTTAAATTTTTGTTTATTGTGTTTTTTTTCCAAAAGCTTAAATTTCTAACAGAAAAACTGAAGTTTTTGACCGAAAAGCAAAAGTTACTGACCAATCGCCCAAAATTCAATTTTCCAGATAGGCTTAAATTTTAAAATGCCTAAAAAATTTTCCTTAACCTTATTTGTGGAAACTTATGTGATCATATTTTATATCATATATTGTAATGTATTATGTGTTTTATTTTATTAGTAGAAGTTAATACTACTTAGAGTCCCTATGGAAAATATCGAGGTAATTTTTTATTAGGTTAAATATTGCACTTTTTTCCTCTCTATTCATGTGATCAGTTCTAATAACTGTACTATAATTTTTGCTAAGACCGGTTAGGTATTAGCTTTGTTACTGGGCTGTGTTTCTTCCAAATTTTCGAAGGGAATCACCTCATAATCATTTACATTTTCTGCAATGAATGGTTTTATATTAAAACGATATCCCTCTTATGCTTTTAATTTACAATAGTACACAATGCTTCGTAATTTCTTACGCTTATTAAGCTATTGGGAATATTTATACCCATTAAAGACGAACAGGGTAGAACAGCCTCGCTGTAACTAATATTTTTTACTTTTATTCCAATAATACTTCCAGAGTGCATCTCTAAGCTGGAGAGGTACGTAGGATTTATCTTTGACAAGTTAACATATTTTTCCTCTGTTCATAGTTCCTTATCAATTTCTTAGTACCACACACAATAATTTTTATTCGCTACCGTTGTTAAAATCTAATTTAATATTTAATATTTTCATACTATCCCATCCAAATAACATGTCAAAATTATTATGGAAGCCAAATAAGAATAATTTTTAAGTTAAAAATCTGATTTAGGCTTAATGCTATGTTTGTACTTACTAATCCCATGAACTGTCTTTACTTCAAATGGATTTTTGATTAGCAGAGTCTTAAAGTGATCTCTCGAAAATTTAGGATTAATGAATGACGTGTTACATGTATTTCTTAAAATTTGTTATTTTTTTAGTGGGTCAATAAAATTTGGTTCTTCAAATTGAAAAAATTCATTTTCCTTATTCTTTTCTTTTGGGATTTATTCGTAAAAAATGTTTCCCACCTATTGGACTGTTGAATTTGTGTTTCATAATAATTTTGTGGATTATGATTTGACTTATGGTTGTTGCTTGTTTTGGTAATAATTCGTGTTTCTAGTCGAGATGTTCTTTGGGTAGGTGTGAAGAGATTCTGTGCCTAAAAGGTATCTCTTTACACCTGGTAATTGGGTGCTCTGACAAAATTGTTTTGGAATAAATAGGATTGAATTTACATTAAGCATTCCTAGAGTTTTTTTCTGTCAAATGAAGGTTGGAAATTGGATATCTTATCCCTGTTTTTTCGCGTAAATATTGAAAATCATTCCATATTGTACCGCGTTCCTGCTCTGTTTAGTAGTGGGGAAGAGACAAAGGATTTGAAACATAAGGAACATATATATATAAATTTAATGAAATGTGAAAGGGGTGACGGTGGCCGTACGGCAGTGACACAGCGCTCATCGTTGTAAGGTAAAGGTCCCGTGTTCGAATCCAACAGGTTTTTCACAAAAACAAGTATACTCCGATGGTTGATATGATCTCTGCTATTGCAAAACCTCGTACAAGTTTTGAGGGTTTCTCGTAGCCAAATTGTTTCTGAGGGGAGTCCTTAGGGGGAAACGAAAGTGGTATTGTTTTTTGTTTTTTGAACTTCAATTAAATAAAGCTTATGCTCATCCGAACTTTCTTCCATAGAATTAACCCTAAACAAGTCCAAATTTTCCTTGACATCATTTAGAGGTTTCAACCTATTATTAATATTTAATTCACTATAGCTAAAGTAATACTTGCGGGTCCTCGCCTATCACCAAATTCTCTTACTAAAATGGTAGTAGTCCGTCCTAGCTCGAAAACTTTTCTCATGACTTCGTTCGCCTAATCGATAAATTTGTTTTTAATATGGACATAAATTTTTGTATACCGGAAACGGGCAGATGAAACATAGACACAATTTTTTACTTCTTCAACCCTTCAAAATAAATTGGTTTACGTTATGGGTCCATGAATGAGAAGAATTTGCTTGTAACATTGTGTCGGTTTCCATATGATGACGATGAGTACACTAGGAAGAGGGGTTTGCGCTCCCCAGGCACTGCAGCCTTCGGGCTTGTTGTACCTTGGGTTTTATATATACGTCTATTTCAGTAAGGTTATTTATTACAGACAGTAAATCTAAAAAGTGTAAAGAACTATCTTTATTTATTTCCAATGTGAAATTTATACTAGGGAATTAATTATAGGAATAAATTCAGTTCGCTGTCCCCAAACTGCTTGAGAAATTGAAATAATGAAGGGTGGGTGAGTATTTAGATTCACTTTTTGTAAATGATGGTTCTACTCACACATTAGTTGTTTACATGTTCCGGATTTCGAGCATTAAACGCTCATCATCAGGTTGAACGTCATCAGGTCTTTTAACTAATTTGTTAAAAAAAATGATATAATAAACCTCTTAATGCATGCCTGCTAACTAATTATTGTCAATTTAATAATAAATTTTATGAAATGAAAGGGTTATCAATGAGATCTCCATTATCCCCACTTTGAGCCTAAATGTTCATGGATAACTCTGAAAAAAATATTTTCAAATCAAATAACAAATTAATTAAAACTGTCCTCTTTTGGAAACGCTGTGTAGACGATATTTTATGTATATAGTCGGGAAATTCCGGGAATTCCTAGGATCTAAAATAATTCCTCAAATTAATTAAATCTTTCCCTAGTATAACTTTCATTACCGTAGTACTTGGTCTGTCGGGTCGGCGGGTGGATTTTGCGCGATACGACGACCCGAGGGTGGTAGTCGCCCCCTTGGTTACCAGTACACCGAAGGGCTCGGTAGGTACCAGGTGACCGGCGTTGGCGCGGCCCTATACTTCGAGCCCTTCGACGATGGTCGATCCGTACCGACTTGACGCCGAGATTGGGAGATACACGAAGGAGGAAAAAGCAAATATTCTGAGGGTCTTACACAGGGACGAACTTATAAGGACTAAACATCAACTGAAAATAATGTGAGTGACTATTTCTAGATTTTGACACTTATAATTCTTACACCTGTTAAGGATCATAACACATATTTAAAGATTTTTAAGAAAAATGTTTTCCGAAATTCCCAGTTAATATTAGAAATTTGCATCATGCCTTAAAAAAATTAAATGGAACTTTTGTAACCCCTTTATGAGTAAATTAGTCTTTTTCTGCCATGTAATCGCACAGGCGGTATGGGCCCAAATACGAAGATCATGGCTCTTCAACATACAAGATTTATTTTCGCTTAGAATTTAGTTTACAAATTGACCAAAGTTGTCAAACTTTGCATTAATCGGAACTTAATTTTTCATTAATTCATCATCATTAATCGGAAATAATCCAGGATAGCTATAGTTTAGTTTCTTAGGTTGTTAACCTTGATAGACTCGACCGATAGACGTTTAATCACGATTATTTATGTATTTATTTTTTTTAAATAATGACTTTTATTTATTTATTTTTGCAATGACAATAATGGTTCTATTTGGTAGGTTGACAAGCACCCTAAGAAATTTTTACGGAATATAGTGAGTAAACTTTAGATTGGCTCTGCAAAGTTTAGAAGTTTTTTTGCTCTGAAAGCAAAGAACGTTAAAGGATAAACTTAAGGATATAAAACAAATTAATCCACGGGAATGCACAAAATCATGCATATTTTAAATCCATCGATAAGAAAGACCAACAACGATAAACTTTAACGAAAAGGTACTAACTTCGGATTCGATGACTTAGGTATCTCGTAGTGAAAATTACAATTGCATTTTTCAAACTGCTTCAGCTACCAATGAAGTACTCCTTTTAAAATTAAATGACGGAATGATAATAGAACAATGCACTTCGGAAGAGATCATTGGTAAGGCCAATGAACCACTTGATAACGGATGGGGAGCCGGTCAAAAAAGTTAGTGCATAGGTTGACTTCGAAAGGGAACAATTTCTTACAATCTCTCCCCATTTAACTCGATCATTTAATTGAAAAAAAATCCGTACTTGAATGAACACAGTGAAATTGATGCGACCTATAGGGCAAAGAACAGGCATACTAAAAAGTTATATAACATAAAAAAAATTTCAAAAGATCAGTGTAAGAAGGGAAAACCTCACTGAGAGGAACATGTTAGAACATATTGTATATATATATATATAGAGGAACATGTTAGAACATATTGTGTGTGTGTGTATATATATATACATATAACGTATAAGAACATATATTGGGTTGTCCGGAAAATAATGCAGGATTTTGGTATTAAACAAAAAAAAAGAAACTAGTTACTTTAAAGCAATGTTCTTTAATCAAAATAATTTCCCATACTCTCAATACATTTCTCCCAACGTGTTGGTAACTTATTAATTCCGTCTGAGTAGAATTCAGAATTTTTAGAATTGATAAAGTCAATAAATGCATTTTCCAGTTCCGTTTGATTTTTGAATATTATGTGTTCTAAGTAATGGTCCAGGTGTCTAAAAAAATGGTAGTCAGTAGGCGAGAGGTCCGGAGAGTAGGGTGGGTGAGGCAAAGTTTCATAGCCAAGCTCCAATAATTTTTGTGACGTTACACGTGACACATGTGGTCGAGCGTTGTCATGCAACAAAATGGGCCCTTTCCGATTGACCAAAGAGGGCTTCATTACTGCCAATTTCTGATGCATGGTATTAATTTGGTTACAGTATGATTCAGCATTGATGGTTTCGCCAGGATTTAAGAAGCTGTAGTGTATTAAACCAAATGAAGCCCACCATACCGTAACCATTACCTTTTTTTGATGAGTTGGGGGCTTTGGAAAATGTATTGGAGCTTCTCCTTTGTCGAGCCACTGTCCAGAACGTCTAGTGTTATCGTAGAGAATCCACTTTTCGTCACATGTAACAATTCTGGCCAGAAATGGGTCATTTTTGTTTCGACAAAGAAGTGATGCACAAACATCAAAGCGCTGATTTTTTTGGCGATCGTTTAATGAGTGTGGAACCCAATTTTCGAGTTTTTTCACTTTTCCAATCGCCTTGAGGTGGTCACCGACGGTCGTTTTACTGACTTTGAGTTGCTCTGCACCCACCACTGATCGCAGAACATCATCATTAAGAGAGGAAGGCCTTCCACGACCTTCTTCATCTTCAAGGCTGAAATCTCCCTCCCGAAATTTTTTAAACCACCTTTGCACAGTGCACTCATTAACACAACCCTCGCCCCAGACTTGGTTAATGTTTCTAGCCGTTTGGGCTCCGCTTCGGCCGAGTTTAAACTCGTAAAAGAAAATCGTACGAAATTCTCGCTTTGACATTATAAGGATGACTGAATTATTTCCAAGTAGCGGAATGCTACAGAGGTAAACAAACAATATCATTTGGAAGAGGATTAATAAGTGTTGACATTCATACAAATGAGTAATCCTGTAAACGTAAACAGAATATTTTATATAGATTTTTTTTAATGAAAACTTAAAATCCTGCATTATTTTCCGGACAACCCAATAATATAAGAAAATAAGAATAACATAAGAACATATAATAAGAACATAATAAAATTGTTATGCTATCAATACAAATAAACCAACATACATGGAAAGAATGTCTTAACAAAATTAATTTTTACATATATCTCCTGATCAATTCAATTTTGTCTTTTATTACCTTCAAAAAATACTCTTGTGGAATGCCCTAGTTGTTTCTGAGTGCTATTGACTTAGTGCTGGAAATATAATTTTTTTGAACTACTATAATTTCTCTACCTAATATCATTTTTTTGACGGATAATTGATGTCATGAAATGCTCAAAACAAAAGTTGTAAAATATCTAGTACCATAAATGGACCCTTTGAAATTTTATTGACTTTAGGGAGATCGTTTGTGTTTAGCAATCTCTAATGATTTATTGTTGCTTCTTAAACGGTATTGCCTCCTGAATGATATTGGTTTTTTGATTGGGAATTCAATTTCTATTACTATTATTTTTTAGTTGACGTTTAATTGATGCCCGTTAAAAGATAAAGTCAAAAGTTTGCATAATCGCTGGTTGCAGCGTGTTATTTTTAAAATACTGACTTTTGGCTGAATTCGTTTTTGTTTTGTTTAACAATTATCGTTATAGTAAATTTTATTGCGTTTAAAATCTCAAATCCAAAGTTTCAAAATTTAGCACTTTTTCTTGCGGTGATCAACGTAAGAGGAGGAAATACTCCGTACTGAATTGAATATTTTCTTCATTCTTTCCATAGCAAAATTTTTGGTAAAATTGTTTTACTCAGTTTAATTTTTATTTAGCAATATCTTATATTTTCCTTTAAAATATCTAGTAAGCAACAAAAATAAAAATTATAACGATTGCAAATATTTATTTAAAAAACGAGGGTGGCCACTTTTTTTGCCTCTCTGTGTATTTCTGGTTTTTGTTGTGTGCTATTTGAAACATGTTCGTGATAAAAGAACCTATCGTGGCAGTAGAATAGTGAATGAACAATATAGAAGAATATTAGTAGAATCAAATTTAACGCACGTTCAGCCGAACTGAAGCTTTATCAATGTTTTATGTAACACGGAGGAATTATTGGGACAAAGTAAAAACTCAAGTTTTTAAAGTGGCACTATGAAAAACCACACGTTATCTCGTCTAGTTTGTTAGAGTTCATGACTTACAGGGTTTAAAAGGTCTATTTTGTTCAGACCGCAAGGCTCATTTTCAATTTGCAAACAATTATGCAGAGTTTCGAATAGAAAGTAATGGCGAAACGGAAAGTGTTTACCCCGGACGAAGAAATTGAGATTTAAATCAGAGGTTATTCTCGGAAAACAGAATGGATTTCTTATTTTCAACTTAATCCATAGATTTATCGGCGTAACGCCCTATTTAAAAGAGGACAAGCCAAAATACTAGACTATTATTGTGAAATGAGCGAATTTATGAGATTTCTGGGTGGTCTCGGAGTTGGGATACTGTCAGCAGTTATTGTATTCACAATTTGGCTTTACATGGACATTCTTTCATCCACAATGAAAACACAAAGCATTATCTCTCAGGTGGACACAGAAATGACCCGAGTTCTGATATTCCAAAAGAAGAAAGTTGATAACATTTTATTCGTTCCAATGAGCTAAACACATCACCTTCGTTCGGTTGTTGATCACAGATAGAGAAGATCACTGAAGCGTAAAGTTGAAATTATCCAATGCCAAAGAATAGTTGGGCTCAGCGATGATAAATAACGATTAGACATGGGAGAGATGGTGTATTTCAGCTTTTTAGACCGATTTTTTCCCTCTATAACCAGAATGTTTCAGTAATTAGTAAAAAAATAACATAAAAAAACGCAAATTAAATATTTTCATAATGCGGAAAGTGATCTAAAAATGCTCTGACTTTTTGCATTCTCCCATTGGGAAAATAAGCCATGGTTAGCACAAAAGGATGTCAAGTAATTCGGAAGTAGTGGAAATTGAATGTACGGAATTGTACTCCTCCCCAACCATGTCTCCCTGATTAAAACGACTTAAGAATTCAGGACTGATAACAAGCCACCCCTTGAAGAAACGACTTTCCTTCGTGGATCACATTGGAAAAGTTTTGATCTCAAGAAATAAACTATATAGTTGCTTTTTAAAGTTAGTACAACTATTATATATTGTATTTAAGGGATGGTCAGGGTTATTTAACATGAAATCATTAAGGTACTACACAACTTTAAATATTCCATTGCTCTTTTGTGGTTTACATCTCATGGTTGAGTTGGACCAAGCATATTATAACCAAAGTGAATATATAAATTATGCATGAAGAAAGATAAACATAAAATGTTAAACTATAAAAAACACTAATAAGTTTATACTTCCTTATCTAGATTTTTCCTGGCAAGATGATTTTGTCAAGTACGAAAACAGATCTATACTAATAAACATAATTAAAAGTTGAGAGAATAGTAATTATGCAAAATCGTACAAGGAACAGACCGGAAATAATAGAAATCGAATGGATTCTTAGATCTGAACT